AAACGCAGCAGCCCGACTCCTCACCAAATCCAAAAAGAGAGATCACATTACTCCTATTTTAGCTTCCCTTCATTGGCTACCAATTAATTTTAGAATAGCTTTTAAGATTTTATTGTTAACTTATAAAGCACTCTCTGGACTGGCACCTCAATACATTTCTGATCTCCTCACCCCATATGTGCCCGGTCGTAGCCTGCGGTCCTCAGCCAAGGCTCTGCTCATCGTCCCACATTCGAGGCTGAGGACCAAAGGTGACTGGGCCTTTTCTGTAAGAGCCCCCACCCTCTGGAACCGTCTCCCTGAGGAGATCAGGTCTGCAAGCACTTTGTCCTCCTTTAAAACTCTTTTAAAAACACATTTTTACAGATGTGCTTTTACAGGAGTTGTTTTATGAGTGGACTCCGTTTGATGGCAGTACATTTTTTCTTCTGACTGTTGTATTCCTTCCTTTATTTCTTTCAAATGTCTTCTTTTACTGGGTTTTATTTTTCTTATATATTTTTATATTATTTTATTGTCTTTCATGCTTTATGTGCTTCATCTTCACCATTTCTTTTTTCTTTTCTTTTTTTTTTTACTTCTTTTACTGTCCTTATTTGTTGTTTTCCTGATACTTCTCTTTGAATCTGTAAAGCAGTTTGTAACCCTGTTTTGAAAAGTGCTATATAAATAGATTTTTTTATTATTATTATTTGATTTAAAGAAGGGGAAATATTTTTAAAACTGCTGGAGGAATTTGGCTTTTCTGTTGATTGAATTTGTTCTATATTTCCTTTGCCATCTGATAACCATAAAGTCAGTTTTATCACAGGAGAATAAGTGCAAAATTTAGCAATTAATCAGTTTTTTTAAGTGCATTTATGGGCATATTCCCCTTTTAATTGCAGAAGAAAAATGACAAGCATGAGAGAGGAGGAACATAGATGGAGATTTTTATCGTTTGCAGAGCTTTTAAGATTCATTTCCTTCTTGGCTTTCTCAGTTAAATTAAAGTCAACCAGTAGATTTATTTCTGCGCCAATATTTTGTATTTCTGTTTTTTTTTTCTCGCTGAAGCTTCACAACCCTGTTTGATACTTACCGTGTTTCACCTTATCCTCCGAGGATTTTCCCTTCAGGCTACAGATACTAAAGAGTCTGGATTTACTGGATTAGCGGGTTTCGTCCCTTGACTTTTCAGACGAACCTTTCCCTCTCACAATCTCACCTTTAACCCACAACTTGATTTGGATGGAGTTCTTGGAAGGGGAATCCTTTGATTGAAAGGAGGGGCGGAGGGGGAGGATTAAAGAGGAGGAACAGAAGGAGAAAGAGGAGAGACGTGGCGAAGGTGCTGATGTTATGCAGCGTAAGGAGGCTTTGGCAGCAATGCAAAGCAGGCACAGAGTCGATAAGGGGAATGGAAAATCGGCGGCTACCAGAGTGCAGCTGAGAAGTCTTACCAAAGCTCTTTGGCCTGACCTTGGGGAATCTACAGCTAGAAAAAGAAAGTTAAATCTGGACACCTTAATGGGCATAATGGCTAGTCGAGAGAGTAGCAAGAGGTCAGATCAGCAGTCAGCCCAAAGATAGAAGTATTAAGTAAACATGTGAAGAGGTGGGACAACTGCTGTGGTTTCTGTGTGCATCCTTTTAAAAAGCAAATAAAAATGACTATTATCTCAAAGATGAGCTAAAACAACATTGCCAAAATGTCCTTTCAAAGCTGACAACTCTGGTCCTTCTGTTCATTTCTGTTCATTTAAGGTTTTATTTATGGCTCCCTGATGAGGCCAATATGTCCACGTTCTTCTAGTGAAGCGTTTTAGTCTCTATGAGCTCATGACGTTTGACTCTTTAGTAGCTCCAAAATGTAACTAACTTTGTCTGTCTGCTGTACTGTTGTGTTGGGAGTTTACATGAGGGGGAGTGACACTAAACAGAGAGTTGGAAAACCAAGACAATCGGCTAAAGCTGGTCATTCTGAATCAACTTGTTGATGTGAGCAACATGTTTCCCAGCACACACAGTAATTGGATCTGTTGGTGATATAAACATATTGATTATAGAAGCCAAGTTCTGATTTGCTATCTCTGCTGTTCAGACTGTTTTAGTTCTACAGCATCATGCTACTCTGTTTAGTAAAATACTGTTAACAAACTAATATTCTAGCAGCTGGGGCACCAAACAATAATAGAAAATAACTGAAAATAACTCATTTGTTAAAATAAATAAATAAGTAATTCAATAAATAAAGTTCCATACTTAAATACAGTTTTAGCCTTACTTTTACATGAGATTATGTGTATTTTTTTGTTAAATGAAAGATCTTTACATGTTTATATAGTATATGTTTATTATTATAATTTATAAAAAATAATGAAACATAAAATATATCTAAATTACATTAATTTAAAAAAAAAAAAGAAAAATTACAGAACCAATATTTGTTCTTCTGTTAAATGGCATTAGTTTTATTTAATTTTAGAAACATATTTACCGTATTAAAATAAAAAACATTTAATTTTACCAGATTTAAAATATATGAATATATCTGAAAATCAATGTAAAATTGTAATTAAGTGATATTCTAATCTTTTTAACATCTAATTTAACAATTACATTTACAGTATTAAACTTGAATTTAACGGAATTCTGATAAATTTGCAACTGTATATGAAAATGTAAATTTTTCTTTTAAAAAATTTAAGTTTTATGGTCATACAGTTACAGGTTTTCACTGTTATTGTCAGTTTTTATAATTTTATTGACAATTTTGGGTATTTCAAAAAAAATTTCTAAAAAAAAAGCAAACATTTTGTGTAACAGATTTCAAACGAGGTCAATGAAAACATGCTAGCTGTCCCCATGATCCTATTACTGCTTGTACAATCGCCGCCTGCAGGGGGACGCCCTCCTCACGCTCCAGGGTATCCTCAGAGTGCCGGTAATCCCACCGTGAGTAATCCATTACTCTGCAGACTTGTCTTTTCCAGAGTCAGAGGTGAAACAGATTATACGTTTCCTCCTCGGTGGAGGTGAAATCAGGTCCTCTCTTAACGCTCCTCGTCTTTTTGTGGTCGCTGTTATAATCATGTATGAATACTGCTGCTGAGATTTTATGTTCTCAAAACTCACTTTTGAAATCATTTAATTTTACTTTCCACAGACATCACTGAATCTTTCTTTTGGTTTTAGTGCTACATCTTTGATCACATTTTTTAGAATCAGGCCTCTGATAAAAAACATTTCCTACTGATGTTGCAGTTCCCAGTTGTTACCAGTAGAGATCAGTACAGGTTACAGATCAGTGAGTTTTTCTGTTAAACCTGTACAAAGTGGTGGGGCTTTCACTGACATAAAAATGCCAGTACAGCAAAGTAAAAAGACCCTTAAAGTCCTGCATGAACATCCTACTTAAGTAAAAGTACACAGCAGCAAAACATAGTTAAAGTATTGCAGCAAAAGTAGTGATTTGGGCCCTCTGACTGATGTAATTTATTCCTGTGGCCTCATTAGATCACTTACAGTGTGTCAACAGCCTGTTGCTGCAGGTGGAGCTAGTTTGATCTGCTTATCTGAAAATCTAATCTAATCTAATTATATACGGGGACAACAGATAACTCTGAGGGCTCATTACATGATCAATGGGAAAGGAAATTTCTGACACACAAACCTGGTTACAGTTTTTCTCAGATCTTTTGCTGACACAATGGATTACTGGATTATTTATTGAAATGAAACCATGTGAGATGTTTAACGGGAAAAATCTTGATTTGGTGAAGCTTTTAATAACTCCCAACTACACACTTTTTTTTTATAAGAATCCAAAAAGGTTGGAAACCACAGATTTTATCTTGAACAATACAGTGTATTTTAAAGGTTGTTGTATTATCCATGTGTCAAACTGGAAAAGCTGTAGGATAAATGTAGTGGAGTGAAAAAATCCAGTATTTCCTGCTGAGATGTAGTGGAATGGAAGAAGAAAGTAGCAGTAAAAGTACAGCTACCTTAAAATTGTATTAAGTACAGTACTACATACTTAGTAAAGTAAACATGCTTAGTTAGCGCTGGCTATATAGTATGATATGACAGCGTTATTGAATAGTTAAATACATTTTTACTTAGATTTCTCTTTTTTTGTTACTGATCTTGTCTTGAAATTGGTATTTCTCTCATATTATTCTAATTTTTTAAAACTCATTTTATTGTATTTTCAGATGTTTCTCAAATGTACTTTTCCAGCTTGCTGAATTTGCAAAACCCAATTTAAACTAACAGTGTACTGCAGTTGCCTGATGTTAAGGAATGAAGACATAGTATGTGCACGTATAACATTATGTAAGAAATAAATTTAAAAAACGAAATAAGAAAAATAAAGTAACAAAAACACTGTAATGGCAGATATACAGTGACACATAACGTGAACGTGCTGCAGTAGATGTACTGTGATGTTTTGTTTTTTGTATGACACAGTCTACTCTATTAATATTAAATAATATTCATTCAGTTTTGCTGTTTAAATAGTTGAGCGTATCACATTTTAAATGAACTGTAGAAAAGTCTGTTTTAGAATTATACATATATATATCCATTATCTATACACCGCTTAATCCTCACTAGGGTCGCAGGGGGGCTGGAGCCTATCCCAGACGACTGAGGACGAAGGCAGGGGACACCCTGGACAGGTCGCCAGTCTATCACAGGGCTACACTTAGAGACAGACAACCAAGCACACTCACATTCACACCTACGGACAATTTAGAATCACCAATTAACCTCAACATGTTTTTGGACTTGTGGGAGGAAGCTGGAGAACCCGGAGAAAACCCACGCTGCACGGGGAGAACATGCAAACTCCACGCAGAAAGATTCCGGTGCCCCCACCGGGACACGAATCGGCAACCTTCTTGCTGCGAGGCAACAGTGCTACCAACTGCACCACCTTGCAGCCATATATGTACACACATATATATAACACATATTTATAATTATAATAATTAAAACAAACACTTCAATCATTTAAAAAAAAAGTTTTTTTATTGAAATGCAACAAGAGACAACTGCTTTACTGAATAAAAGTCATATTCCAACACTTAAAAAATAGAAAAAATACTATTCAAAATGAAATGACTTTGTAACAGAACAGCATCTACAGCTGAAATGTTTCTGACCTGCTTTTAACACTTTGACTCAGTTCAGTTCGGTGTCTGTACATCATATTAATACTGACAAACACAGGCATCACCAGGGTTTTCAAAGGAAAGCGACCTTTGACATCCTCCTCAGCGGTGGCTCCTGTACGTGATGATCTTGCGGCTGAGGTTGCGAGCGAGTCGGTCGACGGCGCTGCTGATGTGTCCCAGCTCCTTCCTGGACGTCAGGCCCTCGATGTTCCCGCTGTACCAGAGCACCCAACCGGCCAGAGACATGACCACGAACAGGGCTCCTGCACAGAGGTCGTATCACTCTTTCATTTAGAGTTCACAGTAACACTGAATTTGTTGGAATGACAATCTTTTAAAACGAACAGTGTGTTTATCACAACCAAAAAAAACAGAATGAATTATTGGATTTTTAATGTTCTGATGATCCTTGAACTACTCATCTGTGCTGTGCTGAACTGAATCTAAGACTAAAATCTTAATATCTACTGTATGTGTCAATTTAAAAGTTGGCCAAAATAAACCATTTGCTCAAACTGGATGCTGCAAAATCCAAAAAAAGCTCTGCCTTTCTCGGCACAGCGGAGAAGCCATGAGTGACTCAACTGCAACCGACAGTCACAGGACAAAAATAAGTGACTTTTTTGCCTAATGATCAATAACATTCTACCTTTTTAAAAAATCTATTATATATAGCATTCTAAGTGCGTCATCTTGCCAAAACAATATTTCTGAGTTCTCTCTATTTCTAGGTATGGTTGTGTTGTTTGCATAGAGGAGCAGTATGGCACAGCTATATGACATAAATCATGAAAAAGAACAAAACTGAAACCTGGAATCTACATGTACAACGTTTTCCCAAGTGTCCTCACATGTTACCAATACTGGAAAAACAATGGTGACACTACATGCTATAGAAGCTTTCAAACATACATTTTTAAATAGTTTCTATACTAGTTTTGTATCTGCTCTGTGCAAACACAGTCTGCAGGTCAGTCAAAAACTCCCTGAATTGTTGTCACATGACTATTGGCTGCAGCTGAGACAAAATAAAGCACAAATCGTTTTTGTTTTTTTTACAGAATCCCTTTATTGCACATGGTATGTTTTTAGCTATTTTATTTTATTTTTGAAAAGAACATGTAGAATAAAGTGGTTTTAATTAAATATCATGACTTAAGTTCAGATTTAGTGAAGTTTTCACTATGAAATGACCATAACAGATGATTCATTCAAGGACTCTTGGAAAGTTAAAAATCTGATGATATTTTCTCTTTTTACAGTTTCTAGTTTTGAGAAATGGTGTCATTTGGGCAGCTTTTTGTTTTTAAAAGTAATTTTTTGGCCTTTGTGCCTTTATTGGATAGTGTTAGTGAGAGAGAGAAAGGAAAGTAGGGAAGAAGAATGGAGGGAGGACATGTGGGAACGGGTCATGAGCGGGATTCAAACTCATGACCTCCACATTGGGACTCTAGGCCTGCACATGGGACACCAGCTCTACCAGGTGAGCTACAACGGCGCCCCTTGGGCAACTTTTTAAAGATAACATGCCTTACAAAGCCACCTGTGGGTTTTGGGGTTCAGATGGTTAAGATATTCAGACACATTTACTTGTGATTGCGATTGATTGTGAGCTTACATTGATGTACAAGTGCAGATTTTAGAAAAAATCTATTTACTATCCTAGTTTACTCATCAAGCTCTGATTACATGCTGAGTTGGGGACAGACAAACAAACATACCCGTATAGACCAGTAAGTCTCCATAGTCTTGTCCTTTAATCTGCAGATTGGCAAAGACTCCCACCAGCAGAATAGTTCCTCCCAGTAAGTCCATCAAGACGGCAAAGGCCAGCGCCGGTTTACAGTGGGACAGTCGGTCACACAGGCCCATAGTTCAGCTGGAAGGAAGGAAGGAGAGAAAACGCTGTTACTAACTAATCACCACCAAGGACCTGCAGCAGCACAAAAACACAGGAAAACTGCTGTTGTGTCAGTTACGGTCAGCCTGATCCCATCAGTGACGGAGGGCATTACTCTGCATTGTATAGTTTTGACTATTAATAACTACAATTTCCTGCTCAGGTAACATTTTCAATACAAAACGTAATCTAGAATTGTGTATTTTTTCCAGTATGTTAGAGCTTAAGTAAAAGGTTTCAGAATTTTCTTCACCACTGGAGATCGCATGTGATTAATACCATTAACTTACTGTTACTCATTCACTCAAATGGAAGCAACATTTTACTGTTTTTGTGAGTTGGATTTTTAACTGTTTCAAATGGCACTGCAAATAAAAAAATCACCCATTGTAAAAAAAAAAACCTGCAGAATGTATTTATATTTATGTATGTTTATTTTCTTAATTAAATGATTGACCGTTGAGTTTTTAAACATTCAGAATACCTTCAGAATGCTTTTACTTTGTACAAACAACAGTCAAATATTACAAAAAAGTATGTAAAAACATGACAGATGTTTATAAGAAAAGCAACAAATCACATTTAGGAAGCTAAAAACTTTATATTTTTAAACGAAGAATTAGTTTTGATGATCTCCAAACTCAACTGTCAGATGAATTTAGTGCAGCAGGCATCGAGGGTTCAATCCAGACAAACAGTATGCAGAATTTACCCTCATAATTTCACCACGTTATTTCAGAGAAAAATGAAAATTAAATTATCTCCCTTTGCTTTAGGCAAAGTAAAATCATTTCCCACACTAATATCATTACTAATATAGTCTGACAGACAGCAGTGGTTCTCTCACTGTGTGCCTTGGAATTAGTCTTATTTATAGCGATTTATGATGCAGTCAGATTCAGTCCATTTTGAGTTAAGACTTCATCATGACTAAACTGTAACTCCTAGAAAGTCTGATGAAGCTTTTCACCAAATAATCTCTACAAGTTATTTTTCATTACGGAGACGACCTGTACTCACTGCAGAGCCCGTTTTAGAGACGACTCGTGTTAAATTAGACGAATTAAGATTACATTTAATCCAAATCCTTCATTTTACCTGACTCACACTTGGACTTACTTGTTATTCTCGTTCCTTCGGCGACATAAAACTCCTCACTAACGTGTTCCTGATGCTTATGTGGCCTTAGTCTTTACTTCCGCGTTCACCTCCGCACGGTCTACCTGCGCCCCGCCCCTCACGTGACACGTGTCCGCTCCAGTTGCTTCTTCTTCTTCATGTTGGATTTTCTTAAGACTTCTGTGGCCTTGTTAGGACAAAGACAAAGATTTGATTATTATTATTATTATTTGCACACTTAATTTGACTGTTGATTAAACTCCACACCCCTAAGAGGAGACTGACAGACATTTTTTTGAACAGCTGCATTAATATGACTCCACTATAAAAGATATTAAGAACAACAAGGTGCACTTTAAATGAATTATAAATTAACCTTTGAGTACTAGATTTATGTCTTACTTTTCCTTTTTTTTAATTTTAATTTTGATGTATGTGCCCCTGACATGAACACTCTTGTTTGTACATAATATTAATGTATATATGTTTTTCTAAATAAAATAAATAAGTAAATCCATTTTTTCCTTCTCTCTCAAGTATTTTACGTCTTTCATAAATTCTAAGACATTTCATAAAAACAAAAACAGGACAATCTAACATAACCACACTGGTCTTCACTATTTCAATTGCATCTGTTTATTTCTTCTGTTTTATTTCCCCTCATGTATCTTAGAATAGACTCCAGCCCTGCATGATTCTTTGCAGAATAGAGTGTGTATACAACATATTTGAATTTTATTTCATCATATCGGGGCTAACGTACCTTTAAAAAAGACAAACAAGAACAGGAAAGAAATAAAAATTTATTTTGGTTATTTTATTCTGAAATATGAATTTAATGTAATTAAATGTAATGTAATGTAATTTAATTTTGTTGCATGTGCCCCAGCATGAACACCTTTGTTTGCACATCCTGTTTATGATTCTTAACAGTGTAGAAGCTGTTAAAACTAATTACACATTCAACAGATTTTTTATGGACTGATGACATTTTATTCTGAACTATAATGCTTCTTAATTTCATGTAAAGGATTTTATATCTTTTATGAACTTTTTCATGTAAATTTCATAAAAGCAAAAACAGTATAATTTACAGCTACAACCAGAAATTTCAAAATATGTTCACTTTTTAATTGTGTTTACTTCTTTGCATTGTTTTATTCAGTTGTTTTTCTTTTCAAGCTATGTGTTGTTTTCCATTTTACAAAATTAACAAAAACAAGAAGGCGATTACAAATGACTATATTTCCAACAAATGTCTTCTGGTCTGATGATATTTTATTCTGAATTCTGGAAGAAAGTTGGAAACGGTTCTGCGCATGTGCGAGCGGCCACACCGGTACACCTGTAGACGCCACTTATAATCAGGTAATTGCTGCAGAGAGAGCGTCAGAGGAGGCAGCAAGGTAGCAGCTGTGGCTAGTTTCAGGCTGTATTACTGAAGTATAACTGCACACAGCTACTGGAGACAAGTAACAGCAGCTTTACTCGGTTATAACCCCGCTGACATCCTTAGCCATGAACCCTCCGGCCGGCAGAGACGATTCAAACCCGGCAGGTAACTGCAACACCTCCACGACTCATCCTCCTAAATCAGTCTGCATTTAAATAACTTTAACACGTCCGCGTGTAGCTGTAAAACAAAAAAAAACACCCAGCGTTTGTTTAAAAAGCTGTAGATTGGAGAAACCGGCGGGTTTTTTTCGGTTTTCACAATAAGGAAACGAAATCTTCTGCTTTTAAACTCAAAAATGAATCCGTATTAATCAGCCACAGGCTTCGTTTTTACACACTAATACCTCATTTAGTTTAATTGTCTTGCCCCGTTTAAGGTCAATGTCGATTTTCTTTTATTTTGTGAATATCAGCATAATATGTGCACAAGACGTTTGCTTAAGTGGACGAATTAGGAGGGTAATTAAATCGTACCAGGCTACAGCTTTGTTATAAAGCTACATACGATAAATGCATGTAACGATAAATACGCTGGTAATTTAACCTCACAAGTCACTTATATCAATACAAACCTGTTACTTATGCACAATATTGATTCTGTTTTAAAATATTGATGTTGCTCTGACTTTAGCTGCCACAGAAATGTTAGCATAAATGTTAGCTAACACAGATGTTTGATTTTTAGTTTTAAATAGATTAGTAAATTGCCAATTTGGGGGTGCTAGGACAAAACTTGTGATTGACCTTTACTTCACTGTAATTGATATTTAAATTCACGACATGAAGATATTGTCAAATTAGTAAGGATAGTAAGCCTACAGTAGCTAACAACTCAAGCTAGCTAGCTAGTGCTATCGCAAGCCATGTAGCACAACGTTATTAGCTTAAGATAAAGTTGGCTATTGTGCCTTTTAGACAGATAATAGTACTTTTCTTTTTCTTTTCTGCTGGTTAGCTGTTATGCTACTGTATTAAATTATTGTCTGTGTTATGACTGTTTTACTGATGATCTGTTTTGTTGATTTGTTGGTTTTGGTGTTTAGTCTTCTTAATGTGAAGCTCTACTCCCCACATGATTAGCAGATTACTAGTCCTACACCATTAACTTTAACTTAGCACAAACATATGATTTATCTGCAACACTTTTGATATTGATTGAGCAGAAATACCAAACATATTGTTGTGTTACTTTATGGAATGTTGCATTTCACTTTTCAGTTGTACATCATGGTATTTGTGATATCTTTGGTTCCAGGACCAAACAAGAAGTTTGAAAGAATAGTTTTATGATCCATTTAATTAGCAGATGATGGTTTTAGCAGTAAACAAAATGTGCTGTGTGAAATAGCACCTTTGGTTTCTTGAAGTGTTATGATAACACTGGCAGTGATCTCCAATTCAAGTTTTAAAATATTGTGGAAATGACCAGCAAAATACATTTTTTGTACATTTAGGATGTGCAGAATATTCGTCTAATTTGCTTTTGCATGTGTTAGAGCACTACATGCCCTCATCTTCATCAGCAGCAGCATCATCCTCAGCAGGAGGAGGAGGAGGAGGAGGTTTGTATTTGGATGCGTATGCGGTGTCTTTTCCCCTGGAGGACAGTATGGAGCGACCGCCCGCCTACCACCTGAACCAGGGCCAGCAGATGATGGACGGTACGTCACGTCTACTACACGTGTTGGTATTTATTGTCTCTGAGTAAATAAATGTGAAGAATCATGTGTGCTGTGGATGATGCTCAGACTTCCAGGTTGTAGGTTTCATGTTGCATTTCATGCATTTAGTACCTTTAAATATGGAAAATCTGACACGTAACAAAATAGATTTTTCTTTGGGTTGGGATTTGAAACGTGGAAATTTGGATTAGCTTTCTGAAATACATTTTATCTTTGGATTGACCACTAATTTTTGGTGAGCTCTGTCCCTTCCAATACTAAGTAAATATCAATCAATCCCCCCCACAGTATAAAGTCGAAAATACGTTAAATTTGTCCTTGTTTTATGAACATCAACAACGGCTCTGCCTGGTGTTGTTTCCTGTTCATGTTCAATTTAGTCAATCAATTTTGGTGCAATCAAGGAAGACTGCTGACTGATATTTGGAACTGATATAAAACAAATGTTCTAAATTAACAGCATGTGAAAGCAGAAAACCTGACGTTCATAACAATGGTACTTCATTAAAAACCTTTACTATAACTGTTATTTATTTGACTTGACCACAGTCATTTTTCTTAATCATGAGAATCGTTTCCAGTCACCTGTACTAAAACAGCGGAATGAAATACATCCAACAAAGTCAGGGTCCTTTAAATTGCTTATTTTAAATTGTTTCTGACTTTTTAAGTTAATGAGACAGGTTTAATAATGGTACAATACCTTAACTATATTTCTGGTTGCTTGGACTACGGTGGTTGAAATTTGCTGGACGTACTTCCGGCCTGTAGAATTCTTAAGCTGATCACGATCATTTAGCATAATCATTAGAATGATTTTCCACCATGTTCCCTCTTCTTCTACTTTATTTAAAGGCACCAACTGTTTATCTCGAGGCGCTTAACCTCTAAGATCGGGCCGAATGCATTTCTATGAGCATCTGTTGACATTAACATCATGGATTCAGTTGCAAAACCAAACACCACGGCACCGCTGTGGGCAGTTTTTGGTTTTAAGCCAAATGAAAAAGAAGAGCAGAATAACTGGGAGGAGGCAGTTTGTTGGATTTGCAACAAAAAGTTGACACTCAAAGGCACTAATAATCGAAAACTGCAAGTCACTGTATGACAATTAATCAGCAACTAAAATGTCTTGATCGTGGTAATAATTTCTTGCAAACTGTAATGAAAAAACTAACTGAACTGGTTGTTTTCTGCACATCGACTGTAATGCCTGAGAGTGTAAAGAATGAAACGTCAAGTTCAGCCTTTATGTGTGATTTTGCACACATGCTGCTGTATCGGTGGAAAATATTTTGATTTCCCAAACATGGTAATAGCTGACATGTTTCATCCAAGTTATGAACATTTTACGGGATCCTTAAGTTCTCAGGCAGCAGAGTTGATGAAAGATCAGTTTTACTAGTTTATATCTACTGTCAAGTCCGAAGCAGTTCTTCATCTCTTCTGTAATTTTAGTCTTTTCTTACCTGTTTTTCTCCTCCCACCCTTCATAGCCTCCTCCATGTCTATAAACTCTGTCCGCCTCGTATATTCTTAAGTCTCTTCCTCCTGCAGAGCCGGTGGTGCAGGAGCTGCCTTACTCTCAGTACAGCCCTTTCATCCTGGTATCGAACCTGCGGGCTCACCTGTACGTCTCTCTGGAGAAGAACGCCTGGCTGCAGAAGCGCATCGAGGAGCTGGAGGAGGAACGGAACTTCCTGCGCTGTCAGCTGGACCGCTTCATTGTCAGCATGAGGAATCCGGAGGGTGAGGCGTCTGAAAACCCTCTTAGAAGCGGAGAGAACTCAGAAATGTCTTCTGTGCAGATTGACAGAATGACATAAATAATAAAAAAAAGAGAAAAACTAAAGCTAAAGTTCTTTATTTATTTTACAAATTCCTTTAAAAATCCCCTTTTTCATATGCCCACAGCTGTTACAAATACTAGAACAAATGCTGACTCTATATACTATAGATAATTTACTACATACAAATTTGTTTCCATATGTGTCTCGTCTCTGCTCTGTTAGCAAAAAACTGCAGTTCAGCCAAAAAGTCTCCAAATGTTTGTGATGTAAGTGTTGATTACAACTAAGTCAGCCATGGCTTATCGATTCTGCCAAAGAACATAGAATTTTAATTTTTTCACAGAATCGTATTGTTCGGAAAACTTTTTTGAAAAAAACGATACATGTAGAATAAAATGCATTTTGAAGAAATATGATTTTAAACTTACATTTGGTTAAGTCACAGATGAGTAGCACAAGGAACATTGTAAGGTTGAAAATCTGCTATTTTTTCAGTTTCAGACTCATAAATTGTGTCATTTTGGCCATTTTTAAAGTCAACAAGCCTCTTTTAGGCTTTCAGATGATAAAACTGAGACCTCATTTATACATTTCGTATTCTGTTATTACAACAAACATTATTGTTGCTGATAGCTTCATTCTGATTGGTCTGATTGCATACAGTGACAGAGTGGTGTGGAGATGCTCAGCGTGGCGTGAAGGTCCAGCCTGCCAGCTCTCCCTCCCCTCCCTCCCCTATGACCACCAGGTCTGGAATGACCCTCAAACGCCTCCAGGGACCAGGACCTCGAACCCGCCGCAACGCAGCCATCCCTGGTAAGGAACACACCAACTCAAGACAAGAGCTTTATTGCCTCATCTCTCTTACTACGGTGAAATAAAGGAGATTTTCTTGTGTTCGCTTGGTCGTAGTCAAGGAGGAGTTTCATGTGGAAGAGGACAAATACTACACCGAGGATGAGTATGTGGAGGAAGAGGAGGAGGAGGAGGAAGATGAGGACTCCACGGTGGAGAAGGGGTCAAAGAAGAAGGGCAGAGGGCGAGCAAATGGAGAGCCGAGGATGAAGATGAGGAGGATCTTCAGGATCACCCACGGGAGGGAGAGACAAAGAGGTGAGGGTCATCGAGCACAACACGTGATGCAAGCGTTATTCCTTCACCTACAACACAACTGTACACCATTAAGTGGTGTCTGACACACAAAAACGCTATTTGTTCTGCTGTAATGAATGAAGAAGATTTAGTGTTTGAAAACAAGTTCCAAATGGATAGTAAAGGACTTTCTCATTGTTTCTTATAATCAGCAAATCCCATTAAATACAACAAAGTCAGCAATTAATGTATCCTGTTAATTGAAAAGTAAACCAAAACCCAGCAGCAGTTTTGAAAGGCGTATTGTCTTGACAAAATTACAAAAATCACTATCAGCCAGAAACTGTATGAACAGAAAGAATTGTTGGATTTTGAACTTTCCAGTGGTTCGTGAACTACCCATCAGTGATGTGCTGTTTATTGGAAAACTTAACCAAGTCTAAGCTGAATTGTGGTATTCCATCGAAATCTCGTTATTGTACACTTCTCATTTAAAAATTCACCAAACAAATAAACCGCTTGCTTTCACCAGAATCTTAAAAAAAAACGCTAAAGATTCTTGGTGCATCTGGAAAGCCATGACTGTCTGAGTTGTGTCCAACAGTCACAACATTTCAGAGACTTTTTAGCTGAACTGTCAGCTGTGTTTACACTGAGCATACAATGGAGCTGTAGTATGTCAAGCTCCCATTTTTTTTCTCCAGTATTTGAAACATCTGTGGGCACTTGGGAAAATGTTGCAAATGTTGCTTCTAAGTTTTTTCAATTTTTGTAAAACAAACAACCAAAAAGAATGTTTTTGTTGTCGCTTTCTGACACTATAACTGCACAACAGATATTTCTGAGTTCTCTCTACTCCCAGTTGTGGTTGTGCTGTTCCCATAGAGGTGTAGGACTTTATACTGCAGTGAAAGATGAACCCACAGTGACTAAAAATGTGAGGTTCACGGGGTTAACAAGTGTTATCTGTGTATCCATAACCTGATTAAGTTGATGTCTTTGCGCCACTAAGCTTCATTTAGTCCAAAAACTATTAAAAACAGGCCCACTGAGCCATATTGTTTCATCATTATGATAAACATGGGCTCTACAGTAGATTCAGAAACAGTCCTAATTGATAGCATTTTTTAACACACTGACTAAAATACTCTGCAGCAACCAAAAACACTAAATTCACTTATGAGCCTCAGCTCCACATTCTTTTCACTGTTGACCCTCCATTTTCTGCGTGCTCCCCAGTTAAAGACCCAGACGGGGTTTTGATTCGGTACAAGAAGATCCTGTCCACCTACCAGCGGGTGAGGAGCATGTCCCGAGCCTTCCAGATCCACGGAGTCGACCGCAACACCATGGCCTCCACCTCCCCCATCGCCGAACTGCTGCTGGTGGCGCCAGAGAAGGTGTTGATTTAATGCTCCTGTTCATTATAGTCCGTTAGCAGGTATCTAGACTTGGGGTGCACTGAGACGAAGAATGAATTCAGTCAAAAATTTGTCATCTTTTTAATGAAAACAACATATAATTTCCTCTTTATAATGCATCTGCTGTATATTTCATGTAAAGTTTTGTTTGGGAGCACATTTGAACCCCTTAAAAATTACAATTAGCTGTAAGAAAATGCACAAACAGAAACAATAATCAAATTTTCAAGTTTCTGACAGTACTTGAGCTGATCATCTGTTCCATGCTGTTCTATCAAAAAACTTCAATCTAAGTTTAAGCTTGATTTTGAATCATAATATATCACCGAAATAATAAAAAATGTTGCAACTGTGAAACCACGACTAACTCAGCTGTGACCCACAGTCATGTGACAAAAATACCGAAACTTTTCAGCTGGACTGCAGACAGTGTTTACACAGAGACGATAGGAGACAAGTATGGAAACAAATTAGAAACATAAGTTGTCAAATAGTATGTAGAGTCACCATATTTTTCCAATGTTAGTAGCACCTGTGCCCACTTGGACCAATGTTGTACATGTTGATTCCAGTTTTTGGGGGGGGGGTTTGTAAAAGAAAAATGTAATTTGAGTTTCTCTTGTCTTTATGATTGATGCCCATACAGCTATGTCATATTGCACAAAAGACATTTTTCAGTCCTCTCTACTTGTATAATTGTTTTTCATAGAGGTGCTGGACTTTATGCTGCAGTGAAAAATGAGCCACAGTGAAAGTGACGGTGAACACCATTTGGAGAACATTTTAAAAGAGCAGCGCCGGGTTTCTTTTTGCATGTTTAATCTCATCTCGTAAAAAATTGTCAAGATTTTTACTTGAATGACCTGTTCTGATGTTCCTGCAGGTAACAGAAGTTGGAGAGTTCGAGGCGTCGAAGGAGAAGCTTTTGGATTACGCCCGGCGGTGCTACAAGACGATGGACGACCAGACGCACGCCAAAGTCCAGACCATGAAGAAGACTCACAAGCTGCTGCCAATCTCCTACAGGTTCAGGAACTGACCAGCAGAGCAGGGAGGAGGAATAAATGATCTGTTCGGTGGGAGATTTCTACACCACACACATGCACTGACATTTTTTACAGTTTTGTTTGCCTTAATACAAGAAAATGTAAGAAATGTGAGACTCAGAAGATTTGATGCCAGTTTGAATGTAGTTTTTCTAACAGGACACTTATAATTTGTATAGATAAGACTTTTTTTCTTTTGAGGTAGTCTGCAGCCAGGAGAGTTGGAAAGTTTTGTTTTTGGATCAGATTTTGGTTTTCCCTGGAGACTAGAGTTGCTTCTTCTTTTTGAGTTTTTCTCAAGAATTAACTGAAGCTCTGGGACATGAATTTTCATTTCATTAGACTTTTTGATTTTTCAGTGCTTGCAGCCATTTAACAGATCGGGTGTCAAAATAATCAGAGTTAGACTAAATGTGTCTGGAATTTTGGAAAGATTGTTTTGTTCTGAGTATGACTCATTTCTTTTTTTTTTCCTATTACATGAGAGGGCAATATCTATTTTCTTTATTTTTTTTTGACTCAGTATTTCAGTCACATTGACACTGAAAAATATGAATGAACGTTTGTTATTTGTTATTTAAAAAAGCAACTTTATCTGTTCATGTATTTCATGCCTACATTGTGAAAGTATTTAAATTTGGAAGTATTGATGTTGCTGAATTTCTTTGCTTATGACTGTGATAACAAAAAATGTAAAACATCATATTGTGCAAGAAAATAAACGATGTTGCAGATACTATTGTTAGCTTTGTTAAGAGTCAGGACTCATGTTGAGAAGTTTAAATCTGAGAATTAATTCAACCTTATGAGTCCAGAATTCAAAGGAAAATCTGTGTAAACAAACAATAATAACATAGACTTGCTGCTGGCGCGGACAAGATTTACACTGAACTGTGTTTTATAATTTGGGTATTTACAAGATGCCGTACTCTTGTCAAGAAACCATACAGATGCCTGCAATAATAAAACTTAGTTGATGCTGATCTACCATAACCTACAGCAATTAATTGAAAAATGAAAACATCCTCTGTTTACAAGTCATCATTCATAAGCCTGAGCTGCAGAAACAAATTTATCTGACAGATCCTGCTGAAAACATCTGATGTATAATGGTGAAAACATCAGCTGTACATAAAAGAATAAAGCTGATGTCCATCAGGAGTTTCTGTCATGAGCTTTAGTGCAGCGTCCTCCAGTGGTAGAAAGTAGTAATGCAGTGTAGCGAACTGCTGTGATCAAAAAAAGATGCTGGATTGTTTGTGTGATTTGGGACCCTTAACACCCAATTTAACATAAACTTGCAATAGTTAACCCTTTGACATAATTTCTGAGCATTTTTTGCTCCTGTCATATTTTCATTCACACTGGACTATTTTTTTTTACTGCAACGTGAAGTCCTGCAGCGCCATAGAAACAGCACAACCATGACTGGAAGTAGATAAAACTCAAACAGGTCTTTTGTGCAGTATGACACAGTTACAATGCCATCAATCATAATAATTTCTTTGATGAGTCATTTTATAAAAATGGAAAAAAAAAAAAAACTAGATTAATGTTTTTCCGAGTACCAATACTGGAAAACAACGGTGACTGTTAAAACTGCATGTCTTTTTGCTACTTTCATCCGAGGACCATTGGAGAGTTGAAAATGTGTCAATTCTGTTTTATGTTTCTGGCTGATAAATGGTGTCATTTTTAAAAGATAGCATACCTTTCAAACCCATCACTGGGTTTTGGAGATCAGGGGGTTAACTAGGACCAAAACCAGCATTAAAAGATTCACATATTTATAATGTATCATTTATGATCATTGTTTTTTTCAAAATACATTTTTAAATTTATTCTTATGTTAAAAATACATTAGTATGTGCCACAGAAGTAAAAGCCTAGACTAGCTTATATTTTTTCCCTTTAATAAGAAAACTATTTACTGGTTTGATTTACTTACACTTTTTTATGTTCTTTAACCAGTGGAAGTCTCATTGAGATGAAGAATTTCTCTTACATGAGCTTCCTAGACATGACAGATAGCAGCACGCATGAAACAATTTAAATAAGGTTTACATGAAAATTAGGTGTGTTACAATTTCATAAAATTGCAATGTCGTTAATCATACAGGTGTGTGAAGACAATACTTCCTGTGCATTTTTTTGGCAGATAAAGAACCCTGGATATGAAGGAAACAAACAGAAAATAGCTTTAGGAATTGTGGTGTATGAATGCATTTTAAGCAGTCTGGCTGATGATTCAAATTTTTAGATAAAGCTTTGTAAAGCTCAACTAATCAATACAGTACAAACAGGATACATTTAAAATTATAATAGCAATAAAACATTTCTTTGCACAACTGCATAACTAATCACACTTAAAAATCTATTTTAGTTTGAATTTTTTGGGCCATGTGTGTGTATGGAGATCCACATAATACAAAAAAATATTTATATTGCATATTGATGGGTCATATAACTGAAAAGTGTCTGACACAAATATCCAGGAAACTTTGTTTAACAATAGTTTTGAAATAAGGAAATTTTAAATACATATACTAAAACTGTGCTCGTATTCTTGTGCACTTTTGTGGATTTTAATCATAGTTTGGTTGAAGCTTGGCCTGCAAGCTGGTGCAGTGGTTAGCACCGTTGCCTTGCAGCAAGAAGGTTGCCGGTTTGCGTCCCAGTGAGGACACCCAGGATCTTTCTGCATGGAATTTGCATGTTCTTCCTGTGCAGCGTGGTTTCTCTGGCTTCCTTCCACACAGTCCAAAAACATCCATCCATCCATTATCTATACACCGCTTCATCCTCAATAGGGTCGCGGGGGGCTGGAGTCTATCCCAGCTGACTTAGGGTGAAGGCAGGGGACAGCCTGGACAGGTCACCAGTCTATCACAGGGCTACACTTAGAGACAGACAACCAAGCACACTCACATTCACACCTACGGACAATTTAGAATCACCAATTAACCTCAACATGTTTTTGAACTGTGTGGAAAGAAGCCGGAGAACCCGGAGAGAACCCACGCTGCACGGGGAAAACATGCAAACTCCACACAGAAAGATCCTGGTGCCCCCACCGGCAACCTTCTTGCTGCGAGGCAACAGTGCTACCAACTGCGCCACCTTGCAGCCCAGTCCAAAAACATGTTGAGGGTAATTGGTGATTCTAAATTGTCCATAGGTATGAACGTGAGTGTGCTTGGTTGTCTGTCTCTAAGTGTAGCCCTGTGATAGACTGGCGACCTGTCCAGGATGTCCCCTACCTTCACCCTAAGTCAGCTGGGATAGACTCCAGCCCCCCCATGACCCTACTGAGGATTAAGTGGTATTGGATGGTTAAAGCTTTTTACTTTTAACAAAAGGAAATCTTGACACTACACCATCCAGTTTCTAATAGTTGGTAGCCTTTATAGCAGTAGATTGGTGTCCTCAGTTTTAAATTTGGTTATTCAACAGTCACATACAGCTGTAATCTTTTTGTCTTCATATATTTGGATATATCTTGAAAATAATGTTGAAATAAGACTTGCAAAGTATTTTAAATGAGATGAATGTAAATGTTAATTCGTATGGAGAAACTATTGCTTGACAACTGTATTATTTTTCTGCACATTGTGGGTCGGTGCTTGAACCTGTGACTTAGATGATACAGATGCAACAACTTTGTATCAGCCCTTGAATATGCTGGTTGATAAATGAGGACTACAAAGGCTTTAAAACAGAGCAGCACGGAGAGCCTGAGCTGCAGTGATACAAAGGTAAAGAGGTGCAGCAGAGGAGCCGTCAGCACAGTGAAGCCTTTAAAGCCTGATCAATACCTGACTGTTTTCATCACCCGGCAGCCGGAGCACACAGGTCAACTGTAAAGCGGTGAGTTTTATTAATCATAATTAGGGTTAGACACTGCAGGGTCAACACAAAATACTCACTTATGAATCTTACTCTCTTAAACCACCAGATTATGCCTCCACATGGGAATGGTGACAACAAAGAAGAGGATAAGAGGATGTAAGAAAAACAACAAACATGTCAGTGTAGGTGACAGTGTGGTTGTGGCTCAAGGGTTAAATTCAGTATGATGCAAAACTTAGTAAAAAACACACACAAAAAAAAACGAAAAAAAAACAAAAAAAAAAAAAAAAAAAAGATACAATATTGTGTAGGAAGAGAAAAAACATACATCCAGACTGTTTAAAAAATAGCTTAAAAAACGTGTTTCTTTTTTGTGTGTATGTGTGTGTAATTTTTTTTAATTGTAAGGAAAACCAGTATGGTTATGAATAAAGTCCTGTGCTAATCTGTGTTACTGAACTTTCTACAAAGTGATTAAGTTAAGAGCATCTACTCGCTGCAGAATTTCCTCTTAATCAAATCAAATGAAATTCCCTATTAAGACATGCTTGTGTTGTGTTTTGTTGTTATACAGTGATCAGGATTACATTATATGCATAAAAAAATAATTTTTATAAATAGATATAAAGCAATATCCCCTCTGGGATCAATAAAGAATTTCTAATTCTGATTCCAGTGATATGTGTAAACACAATAAATAAGGTAAAGCTTACTTTAATGGTTGTCAGTGCCTTTTACAAAATGCAAAACACTGAAAAAAAGACCTATGCAGGCTGCTGGTGTGCCAAAAATACAATGCAATTGTCATTATCTCCTATATATTACATTTTTTGAGCTTTATTTAGAGTTCAAAAACGCTTTAATGACAAGAAAACAAGGAAAGATACAATAAATAAACAGCAAAATAGCCACTTGGAGCAAACAAATAATCAAATAATGACTGGATTAAATAATAAATCTATGGTGGTATTTAACTGCTAGGTTAAAGCAGTCGTGGACTTCTTTTCCCAGAACCTCCTGCGGCTACAGGGCCGATGGGGCTGGCGGTACAGTGGGTCGTAAAACAAAACTCTGTTTACTCTTTGACCTTTGCCAGCCGTCCAATCAGAGTGGGAGTTACGCTGGAAGTAGTAAAACCAGACCGTTTTGACGGACAGCCACAATCAACGAATAGGAATGCGGGAGCGGCCGCAGCGGACCAATCAGAGGTGAGGTGGGCGGCGCTCCTGTCCAACAGGGCATCGGAGGAGGAGGTGTTCCTGGTAGCCATCTTGGATGTGCGGAGTGATTGTTTAGCGAGAAGAATTGACATTTTTTTTTTTTAGAAAATAAGCCTTCATACTGAGTCGCTGAAGATATACCGGAGTGCGGCGACAGAGGAAAGCACGCGTAACTCGGAAAAATCCAGGTAAATTGGTCGCGGAGCCAAAGGTGATGCATTTCTGTGGCTTCCCCCCCTTTCTCTCTCTGCCTCTCTCCCCTCTCCAAATTGTGTCTCCCACATCAAATAGCGCAGCCGGTAGGAAGCTGCAGCTCTCCACACTGACAACAACTTGTAGTCTGTGTGTTTGCGTTTTAAAACGAAAAAGCACAACTTCTCGAGCAGAGCCGCGGTGTGTGAACTCGGAGTTGGCGGTGAAGTGTGTGTATGTGCTCGGATGTTGGTGCCTACTGTTGGCACTAATGATGCCTGCATTGTTTATAAACATCCCGGGCGAACAAACACTTGTCCCTCGGTGTGAAAACGCCGTTTGGTTGTTTGGTTAAGTTTGTTCATGGATCTGTCAAGTTTTTACATTTGGCTACAAAATGTTCCAAAATCAGGCAGTTTAAGTGTCCTCAGTTGGACCAAACTCAGCTGCTCGGTGTGAATGTGTGTTAGCAGGACAAGGAGGGTTCTGTCTCCAGATGTGTGCACCTGTTTGGAAAAGTAATGCTAAAGCTGGTTTAACACGGTTTGATTGTTGAAGTCCTGTTAGTCAGGCAAGGCTGCAGTTGCAAAACTCGGACGTGCAGGTGAGCTGTGTGTCAGAGTTTGCTGAAGTTGAGTCCGAGGCTGCTTGCAGGCCAAGTTTTCCCAAAGGTTCAGACATCAATAGGCAGGCATGGGCTGCACAATACTGGGAAAAAATACATTGCAATATTTAGGTTTTCTACAATATATATATTGAGATTTTTATCCAATGCCTTGAAGAACGAATTGTTCTAAAATTTGTAGGGGAGTGCATTTGCATAGAAACTCGAACAAATCCTATAACTGAAAGATTGCTATTTGCTGTGAAGACTTTTTATTTAAAAAAGTAAAATATTTTGAACCTTTTGTAGCCTTTCTCAAACAGTTTAATATTAGCAAAAGTATCCAAAATACTTTTTTGTTTTGGATGACATTCAGATCAGACTTTGCACTACAGAGCTTGGTGGTTAGGCTGATTATCACAAATATACACTGATAAACAAAATACTTTCATTTCACAAAACAGAACTTCCATGCTGTGCTACATTCGTGCTAATATACAAATCTGGATAAAATAATAATTGCTGAGGTGAAATATAAATTAAATTGTACCAATGACTCCTCAATGCTTATCAATATACACTACAATTCACCAGTGTCCCCAGAACTATTCATGTACAGGCTACAGTTGATGCTGCTAGTCAGTTGTGCACAGAGAAGTTTCTAGTCTCCACTCGAGGACTGCAGCACAGCAGCTGGGAGTCGTTGAAATCAGTGAAATTTGATGTTCCAATGTCAGATTTACCTAAAACCAAGTGATTTTATCTGCATAGACTGTTTTTAGTTAGCGGAGCATTTTATCATTAGCTTCACAATTATTCGTGTTCACATAATTTTTAGAAATCAAAATCATGACCATGATTAATATTCTGTTAATTTCCAGCCTTAAAAATATATTTTTTTCCCCATCCAAACCTTCGTTTTTAGTGGGGTTTTTTGTGTTTCTCCCTCATTTGGCTGCGCACGTGGAACCCGCATGTCTGCAAACTCCTTTTAAATATAGTTTGAAAACACTTTGTGTATCCAAGAACACCAGCACGGCCCACTATGAGAACCATGTGTGTTTCCTCATTGTATCAGGCAGCAAATGTCCTCTTACACTTTCTGAAACACCGATTGGCATTTTTTTACTGTTTTCTTTTTTTATAGACCAAACAACTAATCAAGGACTAATCACAAGGGGTCTGGTGCATTTAGCCAAATGCCATATATGTGACAATATTTCTCAAACTGAAAACACTTCCTTTCAAAGTGAGATTTTTACTTTTGGGGTAATGTGCCCCATACTGTTCATTACATTATGAGCAGCTTCATCTTACAAAGTGTTACTTCTGTATCCACATATTTTATTTACCTTATTGCTGTTAGCAAAAGCTGCAATCAAGAACACATTTCAAATTGTGCAAGGTGCTATTATAGAAACTCCTTGTAGCAAGAGTTGAAAATGAAGCTATGATTGAAAATTAAGTCGAAATTACCAGTGCTTTCATGTAAGAAATCCCAAGAATATGTAGATTAGAAACAAAAAAGCGCGTACATTTTAACCTGCATTAAGGATAACTCAGATAATTTTTGTTGCCATATAGGATTACAGAAGTGACAATAAGTTCTCAACACCATTGCAAATGCCTCCTTCCAAAATAGTCATCAGTTATCTTGTTGGGCAAACTCCCAACAACACAAAGGGAGATTTAAATGAAACTTTAGCACATTGTTGAACTCCTGACGTCCCTAAACCTAAAGATTCAGTACCATGAGTGGCTGAATGGAGGCATTTCATTTATTCCTCTGTCGCTCTTCGTTTTACTCGGAGTCTGTCTCAGAACAGCATCATAAACAGTAGCTCTCTGCAGCTCCAGCGTTGCCACAAATGCCTTTGTTTAATGGCCTGTATCCGAACCTGATAACTGGTCCGCAACCGACCTGCTGCCAGATTGTGTCTTAAAGCTGACATGGCTTATTTTCCTCACCTCAGACTGCTCGTAAAAATATGTCTGCTCCATCTGTTCTCCTTTTGTCATCAACAAACGTGGACTGTGGGAATGCAGTTTGGGCCCTTTTCTGGGTCAAAAGGATCAGCTTTTCAGTTCGATGAGTGTTGGAGCCACCCAGCAGCAGTCATATCTGTGAAATTATGACTTAAAGCTCTGCTTGGTAGATCGAATGCATGGTGGGAAGAAGGCTTTTACAGAATATGTAGAGAATATATTTACATATTTACTGCTGAGAAAGGAAACATTCAACTGTCTCATTTGGCCATACTGCTTAGCATATCGTGCTGCTCTCTGCTGTGCAATTGAAATATATGTTAGGGTCATGAATCATGTACAAAAGATACACAATTATTTATTTATTTAAGAATGGTATCTTGGTTTATAGCCCCAGTGAAGTCTTTGCCTGCTACTTGATAACTGAAGGTACTTGAAGGAATATTTCTTCCTGTTATCTCCGTTCTGTTGCAATAATCTTGGTTGGCTTGGCTGCATGTTATTGGAAAAAAACTCATATATATTTTGATGTGAATTACTGGAGTGATTTTGTGAGGGAGTGCATCTACATCCGAAGTAAAAATAATTTAAAAACAGCTGAAAAAAGCTGTTTGGAACCTTTTCTCATATGGTGTAACACCACCAAAGGCATTCAAAAAAGGTTTTTTGTTTTGGATGGAATTTAGATCTGACTTTGCACTCATCGTACAAAGCTTTGTGGTGCTGATTTAAATGGTCAAACACATTAATCAAGTTGCACATGTAGTGGTAACAATTGCAAGACACTGCCAGCAGAGTACTATTTTTGGTCACCACCATTCTTTCTGCAGCTGAAATATTTCCGAATATCCGCTGCAGCATTTCTTTTTAAAACTAAATGGGCCCTTTCAGTGTTTCTCTCTTGTTCCCTGCTGATTTTTCTGAAGCCTACACACTCAGTTTTTTCAAAATAATGTTAAAATAAACTTTTTGTTTCCTAGAAACCCCTAAATTGAAGTGAATAATGTTCTTTCAGACTTGTAGATTAGTCAGGGAAAGCGAGTAGAAGGTTTCTTTTTGTGTCAAGCAGCAAACAAAGTTGTAACTTTATGTGTCTGAGTTAATTTTTCTTACTCAACATTTTAGTTGCAACTCTGCGATTCAACTGTCGTGCCGGCGCAGGCAACGTCAGTCCTAAGACGACAATATTGTTGAACCCTAATCTCAGTTGTGATTGTAAATGGCATTTTTCGCTTTCATGGTTAAGCAGGGCAAGAAAAACAGAAGTAGAAGAGGACCCTCACCACTTAAAGAATCATGAATATAAACCTATGGGACAATCCTGTAATGGCAAAGATGGTGGTTGTATGACACATGTCCTGCCCCTCCCCTCAAAAAGCCAACCGTCTGCTTTAGAACAGCTGACCTGGGAAACGTCCAGCCAGTTGGGTTGTCATATTGACGCAAGCGCTCACATTCGACTGGCGATCCAGGAGCAGGACATTTTACAGTTGCTTTCCTAGCGCATTATGTTGCAGTGCAGACGTGTCAGAATGAGAAGAAGCTTTCTGCAAAAATGTTTAGGTATCAACACTGACATGGAGTATTAATAGCAAAGCAGCACCCATCACGACAGTTCAGTGAGTGACAGAACGACATCTTTTAAAACACATAGACATCACATCAGGTGCTCCTGAGGCAGGTGCCGATTTGCAATCAGAAAAACTGTTGCCTGATTGCTCATAGTTTTTTTTTTTTTCCTGCTGATGTGAAGAAACAAAGATGATAGTGATTGCTGTCAAATTATCACAAGTGACTCACTCGCTCCTGAATGTATATAAATGCCTGTAATTACTGACAGGTAACTGAGTTTTTTCCTGCTTGCAATTAGACAGAAGAAGGGAGGGGGATGGTCTCATTCGAACCTTTGTTCAGTCCCACTTTATGTAGATCATGTTTCATAATTACCTTAACCAGGAGTCCTTGACAAGCTGGTTAAGGTAAAGCTTGGTTAATTTGATCAGCTGCAGTAAGAGGCCCTGCCTGCAATACCTGAGGATAGTCAGATTGTCTATCTGAGGGTGACAATATGGTGATATAAAAATGTAGAGCACCTGAGTCCTCCCTTTGGAGTTACATTAAATTGAATCACAGGTGGGTTTTTTTTGCCTACTTAGAATCTCTGCATCACAAACATGTGGCTACAGGTCTGCATATAGGAATATATTCCTTTGAATACTCTAGTGAAATCATCAAGAACAATAAAATGCTTGAATTTACATTCTAAAGAGACGCTGATCAGATGTGACAAAAGATTTAAGTTAGTAGAAAGAACTGAAGCTTTGATGCAATGTGCTTAAAACCCATCTGCCAAGTATTTGAGGAAGCCATTAATGTCCATGAACAGTGCTGCTGTCATATCTGTCCTACCTGCTCAGCTTCAGGGGAGCTAAAGAGCAAAAATTATTTTTTGTCATCAAAATTTGATTGGAGTAGGGTTGCAGAATATTAGGGAAAAAAGACCTTGTGATATTGTACTTTGTTGCAGTATGAATAAACGGTGTTAGAAATGTAGAATGGGTATAACTTCAAGAGGCAAAGCACTGCAGCTTGGTCCACCATGTTCACCACATTGTCTGTTGTTACACAGACTTGGTGTTTTTCATCAAGGCCCCAAGCAGCCAACACTTCTCCCTCATCCCCGTTGCGATGTTCTCACTTGTATTATCATCCAGTAAAAAGGCTGTTTGCAACGTTTTAGTTGTTAGATCTCATTAATAAAATGAGCAGTCAGACCTAAACAGGGCGCCGCTTCCTGGCTAGACCGGAAGTCTACCGTAGCTGCAAAATATTCTACAGTGACAGCTGTGTTTTAACTTGTGCCTTTCATTTTTTTATACAGCTTTGGGATGACAACTTGAGAAAAATTGGTGTATGATGGTGTTATGTCCTGCCTGTCAAATGACCAGATCATGTTTTTAAAAACTGATTTGGTGAAACTGGTATGAGGTGTTTGGAAAGGTGAAAAGTTAGCACATCAGTGATTCCCTTTGTCATTTGGAGCCTTTCTCATATAGTAACACTGGCAAAGGCATCTGAAATAGTGTTTTTGCTTTGGATGGCATTTCGATTGGGCTTTGCACTCGTTATGTGGTGCTTTTTGGTGCTCTTATAATTGGTCAAACAAATTAGTCGTGTTTCCAAGACACTGCCAACAGAGTACCTGTTTTTAATCAGCATCATTCTTTTTATTGCCTTTTCAGTGTTGCTCTCCGGTTCCTCCTTTATATTTCTGTTCACATGTGGCATCTGCATGTCAATAAGCTTGTTTCTTTTAAATAATGTTTAAAAAACAATCTGAGTATGTATCTGAGAACATGTATATCAGATTAAATGACATTCTATCAGACAGAATTATCTCGTAGATTAGTCATAGAAAATGAGAAACGTGAGTTCTCATTGTAGCGGAATGTGTTTGAGTTAATTTGGCTTACTTGTGCACAACAGAATATCACTGCTGAAATATGTACTGTGCAGCCCTAGAATAGAGATGGAGTTTGATAGCATTTCTAATTAATTTCTGAATAGAGCAACAACTAATGGCTACTTTTATTGTTGATTAATCTGTTCATTTTCGTCATGATTATTCTGTCTCAGTCTGTGAAATGGCACAAAATGGTGAAAAATGTCCATCAGTATTTTCCAAAACCCAACATAACAAAGTCTTGTTTTGTCAACAACCTAAAAATATTCAGTTACGATGACAAAGAAGGAAAGAAACAAAAAAATATTCACATTTAAGAAGCTAGAATCAGAGAATTAGTCCGCAGTTACTACAATAGTTGACAGTTAGTTAATCTTTGTAACTCTATTTCATTTTAGTTTTTAAAACCATTTTAGGTTGTTTTGTGCAGAATGGTGATCTCGCTCTTTTTTTTTTTTTTTAACATGTACAGTTTTCATGGCTCCACCTTGAAACTGTGCTGATTGTGTAACTCTTCTGTGCTGCCTGGTTGAAGATGTGTGTAAAGCTTTTAGAGCTTTTTTTTTGCAGCAACATCCATATTTGAAGCATCATCCACAGTCACCTCTACAACTGTGTGTTCTATCAGAATTAGGTTTTTTGGGCAAACATGTGAATACATACACAGAATTTAAATGTGAGTTTTGCTGTTTTTTTTTACTGAACTTACACACTTTAAAGTCTTCACTACATATATTATATGAGTCCGGACGAACAGGGATGTAAATTACAGCTTGATACACATAGATTCTGCTGTGTAAAAAGGTCTAGGTCTTTGAAAACATATTTTGCCACTGCTCTGTGACATTCATTAACCCTGTCCTGACTCCTGTTTGCCGCGAGGGCCATTAGTGCTCAATAGGGGGGCTGTGCTGCAGAGGCCAAAGTAAAAACAGCACAGCGGAAATGATATGAATTCTACTTTATCATTGAGCGAAATAAATTGAAGACCTGTGTGCACCCACAGTGCTCTTAAAACAAACTCGTTGCAGAATACAGTGTTATAACAGGTTGAGGGAAAAGCTTTATAGTTATCAAAAATGTTCTTACTGAAAAGTACAAAAAATATTTAAGCAAAGAGTCCAGAAAGGATTTTTTTGGTAAAGCTCTATGAGTTTTGGAATAAAATGGAAACGGCTCATGGAACACGTTTCTAATCTTGAAGTATCAATTGTTCCCACCAGGTTTCGGTGTCAGAGCCTCGGAGTCAGCTGTTGCCATCGTTAAAATGCATATGATCACAGTTGTGCACGCCAGGACACAGCTGAAGCGTGTTAAACAGAAGCAGGGGAAGCGGGTCATCAGATGCAACATGTGCAGACTAGTCTGTGGTAGAAAAACATTCTAGAAAACTAGAAATCATTTGTAGTAAGTTTAAGTTTATTTTACTTATGTAGGCATAGCTGGTAAACAAATAAGTTACTTTTTCAGCATGTGAAAATACTCCTGGAATACATTTGACAACAGATGACATAAAAGGAGGTTTTGTTTAGTATCTTTAGGGACATTTTGGAGTTTAAAGGCCACACTCAGCTGCAGAGCTGCACCTCTGGAGTTGGCAGGGACTCATTGCGTTGCCCAAAGACACTTCAGAAGAGCTGCCAACTGAAAATGAGGGTAGTTGTCTCCCTCTATGTCCCCAAGCTTTCCATCTTTCCATCAATCTCAGCATTTCTTTAGTGCAGTGCAGCTGGCTTGTTTTTGTCATTGCTCTGCATCCTGTCTCTTTGTTTCTCTGTGTGAAATCTGTCCAGATGAAAAATCACATTCACAGCAGCTTCTGTACATGTTCACAGTCTCAGTGTAAATAAAGCAATGAGTAATCCTAATCTTAATCTCTTTTTCCCACAGTGAAAGAAGGCATGAAGACATCATCCTAGTCGTCAGTCATGGCCGATAAAAGGAAACTTCAAGGTGAGCTTTCTGGCTGAGTGTGTGTGGGTAAATGTCTCATCAAACACCTGAGTTGATGCAAATAAGCAGTAGAATTTGTTGTGGTCTGATCAGATGCCAGGTGGGTGAGGTTTACCACAAATTATAATACAGGGAGCGGCACAGTCACACAAAAGCATCTCAGTGTCACTGTAGTTTGTTTTGCTGTGATTGGAAAGTCCCTTGATGGCATGTTTGCGATAAACTCGACCCATGTGTCACTTGAAGTAGGCTAAGACAAGCTTTTTTTTTTTTAAAGAAAAAAAAAAAACAGTTTACAGTCATGATCTGAGTGCGATCACACTTACCGCTACTGTTTTGTTTTGCGACCAAAAGTGGAAAGTTTTTGCTTTGGTGCATTTCTGTATTTAGTTTCACAATGCTTGGTTAAAACAGAATCTGAGCTTGTAAACACAGAAGAGTCGCATGCACTCATGAGTAGCTTGTTTACTGAGTTGTGTAAGCTGTTTTCCTGCCAGGTTAGAGGGTACTGGCTCCTGGAGCAGTCAGAAATAAATCTGGTTGTGGTTCTTCTACCTTTGCCTAAAACTTGATGGATTTACCTGAGCTGTTCTGTCACAAAACATACAGAAAAAACAAATGAGCAGGAGCAACAGAGATTATTGTTTATATCTATCTCTTGCTGCATCTGTCCTTGAACAAAATCACCTGTATTTTTGGTGTGTCATAACTGGGCTGTCTCCTGTGCTTGCCTGCTTATCGCTACATCACACTTGTACCATTTTACAAACCAGACTTCTTTGTTTTAGAAGTTTACTTTTGTTTTCTGTTTCGAGCATTGAATTCCAAAAAAAATATCCAGAAGTGGATACACAATAATATAATTATAATTATCATTATATTGCACATTTTTAAATGTCAGTTTTCTCATTTTGACCAGTGAGTAGCATTGTGTGTGGCCCGAGAGCCATCACAATTGGAGAAGGGATAATAACTTGTTGTTTTCATGACAAGAGAGACCTGATGTTTTGTATATATTTGCTAAAATAAGTGAGAAAATATCACACATTGGCAAAAAAAATTAAAAATCTATATTGTGAACCCTAGTATTGGCACAATTTGTAGATAAGGAGCTAAAACGTATAAAATGTCTTTCTTTAAAGACAGTTGTCAGCTCAGTTTTATAAAGCTGAAGGAAAAGCTTTTGGAAAAAAAACCCCAGAATTTATTAATTGTTCCAAACCAGGTATGTTCTACATTTTGAAATGGATTTTTGTCTTTTTTTAAAAAACTGAATGTGGTATTGAATAGGGATTCAAATTTCTGGCAATTTCTTTAACTGATAGTCAACCACTTTTACCATTAGAAATTGATTTATATAAAAAAATAAAATAAAGTTAAACTTTTCCCATATGCTGAAAAAAGCACTGACACATGGTCACCACAAATTTGTCTCTGTGGAGCATCAGAAATATGAAGAACAGATAAAGTATACACCAGGCTACTGAAATATAAACAGCAAAACATATAGACTAGTACAACAATCTTCGAAACTAAATAACATGTAATATTGTCAATATATTGTTAATTGATTAAATTATCAACATCAATAAATTAACAGTTAATCATCAGCATTCCTGGTATACAGCATAAAAACATTGCAGTATTACATTTGATGATCCCTTGTATCTTTGTTTTCCATCTCTGTTGAAACATTTCTGTTTGTTTGGTCTTCCTGTTTTGGTTCTGTAAATATGACGCTGGCTGTTTTTGTGCGCAGGGTGACATTGTGTCCATGCACAAACATCTGTGCAAAAGTCTGCTCATGATGCTGACACACTTTCACAGACATCAGAGCTGAGCAGACCTCAGACAGGCACTTTGTCTCTTGTCAGGATCTAACCCCTAGACTGCTGCACTGCTTCAGTCTCCTCTGTTCTCAGGACTTTTTATTTTAAAAAATGTACACAGTGTGACTGCACCGGCGAGGCTGATGTTGACTGATGTCTGGAGCGCTTCACAGTAACCAGATGATAATGCATCCAAAGCCCAGCGCTCGCCACAACAAGCGCTGTAACCCAGTCCAGACCTTTGTGTGAAGGCAGAAAACCTCGAGGCTCTGCTCCGTCCCACAGAAATCCTCCTCTTAGTCCTTTACTTTGATGTTATTTTCAACCGACATTTGTCACCACAGGCGGAAAACACACTTTCTGACAGGATTCGGTGTCACTCATCCCTTCACGTGTGCTCATGTGACAACTCCTACTGAACGCCTGTCACATTAAAAACAAAACACACACGTGTCTCACAAAAATGTCTTCACAAAAAAAGGAAAAGATCAAGCACCAGCACGATGCCGGCTCTGTCAAATTGTAATGTATTATTACAGAGGAAATAGACTTTCATCTAAAAATAACACACCCGCAGCAGTATCTTAACATCAAGGCTGTTTAAGGCCAAACTGGAATTTGCTCAGACAACTTAGTTAAAGCTGCAGTCTATTCTCAATACACCGGTTGCTGCATCTTTCTCATCACTCCTTGTTCATTAGCGACTGCACAGCTGATCAAATAGAAAACTAGATAATATTAGAAATACTCAGAGTTGAGGTTACAAGCAGCTGCCGCTGTTTTTTCAATGACATTTTTCAGTGTCTTCAAACAGGAACTCTGGTGTTCTGCAGAAACTCCGACTGTCATTTTGTTGCCTGTCAGAAAAAAATCTTATTTCATCCACAGTTTTTTTTTATCCAAATTGTCCCCAGTCCTCTCAGTCTGTCCCCAGTGCAGCTTCCAGTTTCCACCAAACCTTCTTTGATAATCGCTTCCTCTATGTCTCCTCCCGCCTTTGTTAACTAGTTTGCTTGTTTTTGATACCAATTATTAGTAATCAAGATGGCCAAAAGTAGATATTTGGAACTATACACAAATGCAGGAAAAATCAAAATCTTGGTGTCAAAATTCAGAAAAACACAAACTTCAACACAAAAATGCTTTGATGTATTTATTTCTTACTTATGTTTAATTAGAAATTACCTGTTCAACATTTACTAATAAGTTGTAAAGGACATTGCTACATAGAGAGGTATGAAAGCAAAGTAGTGCATTTTTAAATGAGTTGATGTTGTTCTTTGAAAAATAGCAATACGATTAAACAGAGAAATGCTGAACACTGAATCTGATTATAGGCCGGGCCAATAATTGGTCAGCCCCTAATTTTTTGTGCACTGTTTTTGTGTGCTTTTACATAACACTGACATGCTTCCAAGGAGGGTTTTTTTGTTTTGTTTTTGTTTTTGTCTGCATCAAAGCAGTTTGAAGGCAGATACTTTGATATAATCAATTAAAAATATGAGTAATATAATTGATTCTATGTATTTATTGCAGTTTAATGCTGGCAGGAAAAAATAAATGAAAATGGGTAATTCAACATGTAATATGATAATGCAAATACAATAAAATACATTGAGTTTGACCAAAACTTGTCTGTGAAACACTGATAAACTTTTCGGCCCATTTACACTGAGTGCTCTACACTATCTGCTCATAATTGTTAATATATTAGTTATAACATGTATTTGTGGCTGTAATATTGAGCCATCTGTCTCGTACACTGTTGTTTAACAGACAAACTGACAATTGTGTACAAGCTCATTAAAGGTACGAGCATTATGCTGCCTACTCAGTGCTGTTGGAAATATCAGAACTGTTGTGATTGTCTGGGATCGACAAGTTTCAGAAGTGATGCTTATATGCAGATTTGCCTTCTTTTATGTTTCTCCATTTAAATAAACACAAATATATGTTTACCTAGATTTCCCCAGACCTTGGAAAGTGACATAGCACTGGTCATACTGCCATTAGATGATGAGAATTGGATGGCAGACAGCAGAGCATATCAATGTTTTCCAATCTAGGAATTAAAAAATGTCATTCCACTAAAACCATCTGCTGTGTGGCTTGTAAAAGGGAAAAAATAGTCATGGTGATGTAATCCAGGTCAGAAATGCTAAAATTAGGCTTAAAATGATCTTTTTCCTGTTTACATTTAATAGCAAGCAACTAATCTGTGTCACACGATGAAGGGAGACATAAATCTGGGACATGCTGGTGATAACAAAGCCTAAATCTGGACGTGTTTGCCTCTTCCTGTCACTCTCTAATCTGTTTTGACTCCTCTACCATCACCCATGCACTATTTATGGACTTGCTGCAGTTTTAAGATTTTGGGATTTATCTGGCGTTTAACTGGGGAACGCACATTTGTGCACGTGTGTGTGCGGAGGAGATGTGTGTCACCTCTCGCTCACAAGCATAATGTGCCTTTTACGATATGCATATTTCATGAGATGTCAACCGCAGTTTGTAAGTGCCCTGCTGTTATACGGTGTGTTTGTTGTTGTTCTGTGTGTCTGATATAAAAGCTAACACTTCAGTGGCCTGTTTTTGAAAAGCAAGCACTTTGCTGAGTAAAACCTCTCAAACTTGGAACATGGAATATAGTGGAGGTAGACTAAATTTGTTAGGTAATACCAGGGCCAACAACAATACCAACACTGATATGCCAAATATTTTGCCTGATATGTGGCATTTAGGACTTTGTGGTGATAAATAACAGCTGTTTATATGTACTAAAGAGGTCGTTTCTGTGCACATGTACACCACAGAAGAGAGAGTGTTTGTGTGCTCAGGATATGATGGATCCATTTTTTGTATCAAACCCATTGACCCTTGTACCATTACATTAAGAATCAATCCATCCACCTCTAATGCAGTGACTATAAAGACCCTGTCTAGTAAAAATCAATGTATTTACCTTAACGTGTCCATATAATGTGTTTTATATGCGAGTAGACATATTATCAGCGAAATAAATCATCAGCACCATAAAAAAAAACATGGTTTCATATGTAATGAATGTAATCAACTGATCCTGACAGCTTGCAGTGTGGGACTGTGTCATTATTCTTCTTCAGATTCGGTTTATGGTTCAAACTGTGTGGATGAATTACTCCAGTATTACAATCACAGTTGCCATTGTGTAGTGTAGAGTCATTTTACAGTGTTGTAGATGAGCTGGTGTTCTGAGCTGCAGTGAGCTGTGAAGGGGTGGGTGGGTGGAGAGACAAATTTGCACGTTCAGAGATCTGCACAGACTAAAGAAAACAAAGGGGAAAAAGTGACATTTCAGCCCTTTTAATGCACAAAGGCGTCACTTTTGTGTGTAAAAGTGTTATTGTGATGAACAGATATTTGTTTTAGAGGTTTAATAAATGCCAGTAAAGAAGCTTTAAGAGATGTGTTCTGATTTTTACTGAAGATTTCCAGTTAGTCTGCTTCTTGCAACTGAACTTGCATATTTTGAGGTGTTGATATTGACTCTCTGCTTCTGTTTTCTCCTCCAGGTGAAATAGATCGATGTCTGAAAAAAGTAGCGGAGGGAGTGGAACAATTTGAAGACATTTGGCAAAAGGTAAGATAAAAAAGTGGAACTGTGACAACAACAAATTATTATCTTTACTATAATTTAGAATATAAGAAAAGAGTCAAAAATGCAGCCATTTACTACCACTATTTCCAAAAGCCCTGTTTGTGCAATCTGCTGTCATATAAAACAGTAAAGAAAAAGACAATTATCAGTTTGCACACCCTTGAATTAAAAGTCTGGGCAATCTTTCAAGGTGATCCCTTCAGGCACATTGTTTTTACTAATCAATGGTCCTAAATCAACGATATTCAATTGTAGATGACAGTGATAACCAGTAAATATCCCCAGATATTTTTTTCTTCAAGAGTTATTCAAAACTAATGAGTTTTTAAAATTGTATTAAATCCATTGATTCCCTGCCTACCGTCTGATCAGTAAATCGACTCATTGTTTCATCCCTAAATTGTAATTATTTGTGTTGTCATTGGTCAATTTGGCCTGTTTTTGTCACAATTTTTGTACCACTTTGGCTCTTCTCATAGTTAAGGAAGAGAAAATGTTTTTTAGTTTCTTCAGGCTCCTGTCATCATACTGCTTAAATAAATGCTGCCATTACCACAACAGGACGCGCAATACTCATGATACTTACAATAAAGTGAGCGAATGCAGCTGTTATTAAAACAGCGTTTGGCCCAGAGCAAGCAGCAGCACAGAGGCCCAGAGTGTAGATCAGTTCTCCTAATAAAGAGGCACAAAGTCATTAGCGGTTCAGTTAGCAAGGATCCCAGGTGCCTCTTTTTCCTTCATTACATCCTGTATTTATTGTGTGTCTTTGGCTATCACTGTATTTCCATTTGACTCTCCAGAAAGCTGTTTTGCCACATAAATGCTCATGTTTGATCTGGATTCATTTTTATTGTTTTTCGAGCTTATTTTATAGCCTGGTTCCCACTGTGATTTATCTTTTTTGCCCATTTTCATGTAACTCTTGCCGTTTAAACAAACATAATTTCCCCTAACATCAGTTGATAATACAAATCTACATCAAGTGACCGAATTTGGATTTTAAAAGCATAAAAAAATGCTTAATTGGCTGGCTGGTAAAATGTTTTACGGAATACATAAATAATAATTTTAACGTATATGTTAAATTTTAAATCTTTCCAAAATGAATGCAAACACTATTGCACTTCTGGACAAGATGGTATTTGACCTTTTGTTTTTTTTTTTGTTTTTTTTTCTCTGCAGCTTCACAATGCAGCCAACGCAAACCAGAAGGAGAAATATGAAGCAGACCTCAAGAAAGAGATTAAAAAGCTACAGGTGAGAGCAGCGAGACAATGGAAACTGAAAATTAGAGTGTTCTCACTGAAGGGTTGTTTAAGATGTTTAAATGTCAGGGCTTCGACAAAACTAAATACGTGACTTGACAAATCAGTGCTTCTAACTTTCAGTTAATGGCTTCTCTGTGAATTTTGAATTATTCAAAGAACCAGTGTTCTTCAAGTTATATTGGGTTTAGATTTCATAGAGACTAGAAATGGGGTTTGGTGCAGCAGTGTGTTTAAGAGATGTTCATCCTGAGATCTCAGCAAATATCTGTCCTGCTGAACACTTTCTGACTAAAAAGTTGACCCAGTTTCAACACTCCAGCTGAGTCCTCAAATGCTGGATAGTCTCTGAGGGGTAAAAAAGTGCATATGGATCCTCATGGGAGCATTTGAAGCCTCTGATTGAGGCAGTAAACCTGCCGGCTTTCTTTTAATTACTGGTTCAGTAACACGAGTAAATGAGGAAACTGGGAATGCACCCAACAAAGCATGGGAGGCACCATCAGAAAGATTCCTCTTCACAAGTTAATATCAGTCTTATTACACTTTTCTTTCATGGCTGTTGTTTTTGTTTTTACGCGTCATGTGAGCTGTACAAGTTTGCATATGCAGAGACTCTACTGCTGAAACTCCACCACCTCTGGAACCAACTGTGCTTCCTTCACCACCCACATGTTACATCGCAAAACTAAAAAGTGTGCACTAAGGTTCCACGTATAAGATGATAATGCAGGGTGCGCATTATGTTAATAAATAATAATCAGTGTGCATTTGGAACAGACCAATGACTAGGAATAAGATAAAATGGCAACAAAAGAGAGTCATTTGGAACAAAAACTAGCTGTATTCAGGAGAATTCTGCTAAAATACCCAACCAGAAAACCAGCCATATGGCTGCAATCACCATATTCAGGTAGTTTATTTTTTTCAAGTTTTTGAATGGAACATGTAGAATGAAGTGATTTTGATTAAATATCATGATTTTAGGACTAGATTTGGTTAACTATCCCAATGAAACAATAAGTTCAGGGACAGTCAGAAACAATGTGAATCAGTTGATACCGTGCATTTCCAACCTGTCACTTTTTGGGGTTCAGATGGTGAAACATTTATTGACAAATGTTGATCAGTTCTAGATTCCATGTGCACCTGCCTTAAATAAATTAGCGTAAGAGTTTCCACTTCCACTGTTTTCGACTTGACAACCGTTCAGTGTTCTCTGTGTGAATTTACACCTGGATCGACTTGTTTCTCGTTATCCAGAAACAGATCAGTATTTATCACCATGCGTAAAGGGGGTCTCATTTGTAGCCGATCACCTGCAAGCAGGTGAGACAGAAAGCTGCTGAAATCGACTTGACCCGAGGTCTCTGAAAATTGGATGACGGGGCTGCGATGTTTTGCTGATTGCCTCAGGTAGAGGTGTGTGCGCCAGTTAGCTTGTGGAGTGTTAAATATCGTCTCGCTCAGCCAGAAGCGCTCTGTGTTTGCTGCCGTCTCCGTGTTGTCATGAGGACCAAACTCCAAGCCAAGCCTGTTTGCTGCACATCAAGTTCACCATCCATGACCGTTAAAGATGAGTCTCTGCTTGTATCACAGAGTTCACTGATGTATCTGTATCTCATGCTGCTGTCTCTCCCGATCACTCCCTCCCTCCCTCCCTCCCCCGCTCTGTTTCTCCTCTTCTTCTGGTCCCTCAGCGTCTTCGAGACCAGATCAAGACGTGGGTGGCATCCAACGAGATCAAAGACAAAAGGCAGCTAGTAGAGAACCGCAAACTCATAGAAACGGTGAGTAGGAATTGAGGAGAGTGAGGATTGCTGCTCTCCCCATAGGACCCCTGTTTACTCTGGAGGGTTCTGTTTGTTTTGAAGTCTGGAAAAAATACATGGTTTTGGAGTTTCGTAGGAATTTTTCCCAAACACGTTTGGTATTGGAAGATGTAATGACAGGAAACTTTTGCAAGCTAATTTAAGAATTGTTTACCTACAGTTTATAGCAAATATTTAATCCAGTAGTGAATAATTATCAGGGATTTATTAGCTAATAAAACTCAATGTTCTGTTTTGTTTTTTTTTTAATCCCAATATTTGTCTTACATAGGTGTAAAATACAAAACATTTTAACTTAATGATATGAAACTTAATGTCATATTTAATTTATTAATTCTTGTGTCTATATTTTTGTTCCAGTTTCCAGCATAAGAATTGTTTTTAACTGTTTACCAAATACTTGAAAAACAATTCTGTTAGATTTTTCATCATTGCACAAAAAAGACAGAAAGGAAACACACATATACTTGCACCTCATGTCAGCAAACATAGTTAGAAATACCACAAAAAATGTGTTTTTAATCATGTGAAAATTAAGAAAAGGCATGTCTACAGGCTTTTCTCAGGAATATTTATGTCAAAACTCAGCCCTTTTGGAGATGAACCATAATCAAAACGTTTATTCTTCATTTATAAAGAGGCAAATATAGATTCAATCAGTTAATTATGGCAAGTTTTCATAGCTCTTGCAAGGCTCAATATGCTCCAATCTGCTGTTTTTTCATTAAATGACTACATACACAGCCTCCTGATTAATGCTATCACTCAAGTCACAGGAGCTTCTTTTACATCTCAAACTCACCAGAACACACATAAAGCCTTTAAATTATGTCATTAGAATGAGATTATCTCCAAGCGATTGTACTGAGTTACAGTTTCTGAAGCTCAGCTAGAGTGCAAATTCAATTTAACCTAAAGTTCCCTGCTGGTTTTGGTCCAAAGCTTTTCATTTCTTCCATTTTTTTAATTCAGTTTTTATCATCAGGCGATATGTAATGCTTTCATGTAAAGGTGCCGCCTAAAGTGATGAGGCTACAGAGAATTATCGCCTGAATCTGCTTTGCCGAGCTTTCACAAGCTTCAGTTCAGTTTGACTGTCTAGCTGCAACATTACTGATTTGCTTCAGTCTTCCTGCTTTCATAACTGTTTTCAGCACAGCGAGAGATTAGCTGGTAAACATAGTGAAGTATTTTACACATGGAAGAGTTGGATATGTTTGACTTAAAGTTGTTAAATGACTTCTTATAAGTGAATGTGTTCTTGTGTAACTGTGTAAAAAAGCCACTGTTTGCCGATAAGTGGGACATTCTAACATAAATTGTATTTTTATATCAATTCTGTGTTGTTTCCACTCCCCCTAAGTGTCAAACAAAAGAAATTATTGGACTTTTAAATGCTCACACTAACATGAGCAGACACAATCGACAGAGTAGCCTATAAAACCTTGAATCTCACGGGAACAGAAATAGCCAACATTTGTTGCCAAAACGTATTCTTACATTACTTACTGAGATTAAAGAGCTGCACTCAAGAGACTCTCATTATAAATGCTGGAAATCGTGGGAGCTGGTCCGATATCCCAACACCTCCGGTAGCTGCTCCGCCCGTCAGGCCTCAGAGCCACATGAGCCTTTGATGAGGCCACTGAGATGGAGTGAATGCGAGCCACCTGCCTGCACAATGAGGGACGAGAGCGACTCAGCAGAGCTCCCTCTGATCTCCATGAGTGTTTTTTTTTTTTTTTTTTTTTTCTCATCTCCAAGCTGCTCTTCGAGTTTTCCTGTGGTTTTGTCGGTTGAACTGAAATTACAGTCCTGCAGGAAGCGGCAGAAATGCCTCGAAAGGAAAAAAAAAAAGAGCTCATCAGAACCTATTGGGTTTTGACACAGAAATATGTGATCGAGCTGAAGCTGGAGTTTAGAGCCTCGTCGTCAGAGTTAGATGCTGAAATCACTGCTGGTTTTTATACAGGAGAACAGACTGTAACAGACAAGATGTGGTCTTTACAGCATATAATACAAACAGCACAATGAGTCCATGGACTCAGTTACTTCATATGTTTGCTGGGTAACATACACTCTTCAGTTTTGACACTATCACAGAGGTATTAATATAGGTTGTATTGTTCTGGACTGCTTTATAATTACAGGTGGGTTTTTTTTTTGGTTATTTTTTTATATTTAGACTTCTTCATGCATCTAAACGTCGATATTTAGTCGACCTTTTTGACAAAAATGGCCAAAAACTGAACACTTTAAACTCCTTTAAGGTCGAGTTTATGTGCTTTTTTTGTCTGCTTATAGAAAATGTAAGTAATGTTTTTGTCTTTCTATATTCTCCCGCTTGCAGCAAATGGAGCGGTTCAAGATAGTAGAAAGAGAAACCAAGACGAAAGCGTACTCGAAAGAAGGGCTAGGGCTCGCCCAGAAGGTGGACCCGGCACAGAGGGAGAAGGAGGAGGTCGGCACGTGGCTAACTGTAAGTTAAAAAACACTGTCACATATAAATAGTTTTTTTAATGATAGGAACAGTAGCACTTTCTCATATTAGTTTAATCAAATGAATGTTGTAATTATGTGCAGATGAACGATATAAAATTATAACAGACAATGTTTAATAAATATATAGACAATCTAAAACTTATAAAGCCAATTAGTAATACTAAATAAAATGTATAAAGTACTAAAAAGGCTAAAAAGGACTCCAACTTCAAAAATACATTTCTAAAATCTAATTAAATATGAAATATAAAATCCATTAAAGCAGCCAAAAGCCATCGAAAACATGTACGTCTGGAGGTTTATCTGGAAATGTTGAATTATTGTCCTGTCAATGCTGCCAAGTGTCATTAATATGTTTCCACTCTTAGCTTTACATTGTGTAACGCATCGCTTTCAAACGCTGCAGAACTGAGGGTTTAAATTATCAGCTGCTGACTTGAACCTCATGTTTTTAGTTGAACGTTTGTTTTGTGCCACTGCACAGAACAGGCTCTTAGTTTCTGCAAATGTCTCAAGATTTTATTACGACAAATCATCCGGGGGAAACCCTAATTTGAAGTTCATCTTCTCAAAAACAAGAAATTATTTTCCGTCACAGGAAAACTGAAGGAATCAGAGGGGACTTGTCTCATGAGGAAGTTTTCTGCTGGGATTGTCCGTACTTTCTTTAACAAAACCCAGAACTGAAAGTGCAATTACACAAAACCAAAGTGGAGACATTTCAGCTTTTACCAAAAGTGAAACCTCATTAACCAGCTGCAGCTTCTACGGATACACAGCAGCTGTTTGCTGTTACGAGAAGCTGTGACCACAGAGACTAGACTTACTGTATATTTAGCTCTCTGTAAAAAAATATATTGTCATCCTGACAATCGTGTTTTATTGGTGATACTAAACACAGTGGATTTAATTAGTTGAATAATCTATGAGCAAGAAAAATGTAATCAGGTTTGATTTACTGATTATCCATTGACTTTTTGCTGTTTTTTCTCCTGTCATGTTTTTACTCACTGTAGGCTCATTTTACACTGCAATATGAAGTCCTGCACCTCTATGGAAACAGCACAACCATGACTAGAAGTAGAGAGATCTCTTAATGTGTTCTGTACCGTCAGACAATGTTATAATGCAATAAATGATACAGAAAAAAAATGAAGTCAATTTGCTTGATTACTTGCTTTACAAAAATTGGGGGAAAAACCTGCAATCAATGTATACAACATTTTTCCAGGTGCCCACGGGTGTTACCAATACTGGAAGCAATTATTGCTGTATGTGTTACAGATATTTTACTTCTAAGATTTTAATTGGCTCTCTTAGTTTTCTCCTCCTGGCTGTATGTAAACACAGCCTGCAGTTCATCCCAGTTTAACCAAAATTGAATAGACTGTTTTTTGTCACAGCTGAGTCGCTGATGGCTTCATGATTAAAATGAGGAATACAGAATTGATATCCCCCCTCCCCTCCAACAGAATCTAATTTCTAGTTTATCTATAACAAATACGTTAAGACTCTTTTTTTTTTCTTTTTTTTTTTTTTTTTCCAATGAGACATGTAGAATAAAGTGATTTTTTTTCTCTCAAATATCAGCATTTTAGGAATAGATTTTCAACCAGTAGCTAGGGGAAAAAAATCTGCACATTTACTCTGGATCCCTCTGAATGCACTCTACCTACTAATGTTATTAGCCTAAATGAATTCTATTCAGTGTAAAAAAGCTCGTATTTGCAGCATATTCAGTACTTTTACCCTGGTTATTTTATAGTGAAATGATCACAACCAATATGAGAGCATATTAAGCAACCAATTGATGAGTAGAGAACTACAGTGTTGGATATAAAACAACTTCCATAAAGGCTTCTTAAATAGATTTTGCTTTTGTAGTTAAGGTTTAATTGTAGCTGGGTTATCACTTGTCTTAATGTCATTTGTTTCTCCCCTATACCCAGTCTTGACATTGTCGTCGCTAACAGAGATTTTCAGTTTACTGTCACCTAAGAGAAAAGAAATCAATAAATCTTTGTTTCAGACCAACTTAAAACACCAATACCCACCCCAATCATTTAGTTATTGAGGCTTGTCACTCTTCAATCATGCTATTAACTTTTTCTGAACTTTCTTTCTCTTTCTCCAGAATACGATAGACACATTGAACATGCAGGTGGACCAGTTTGAGAGCGAAGTGGAGTCTCTGTCAGTCCAGACGAGAAAAAAGAAAGGAGACAAGGAGGTCAGTCTGCTCTCATCTCTGATTCATTCATTACTTTCCTCTGTACTCGTCTCTGCCGAGTTTCTCTTCTCTTTCACATTTTCCCTCCTCTGTTTACAGCTGACACAGATGGGTCAGTCAGCCCTGCAGCCCTCCTTTCTCCTCTTTTATCTCCCTCTCTCCTCTCTGGTACAGAGGTCAGATAGTGTGTCCTCCATTCATCTTCTGTCTCTGCCCTGACAAGGATAACCTTGCTGACCACTGCTCTCTCACTTTCCTTTTAAAGTCCTCTCCAGGGACCTCATTTATAGAGAGATCACACCGTGCAGTCATTTCAAAGACCATGAGAACTTGCAGGTCCTGCGCTTGGCATTCACACTTCACACTAAGAGTGTCAGAAAAATAACTATTTTGTTATGTCACACAAAATATGTGCAGTTTGGCGCCAATATGGCTTTCTCTGAGTCTGGCTCATATTTGGCTCTGAGCATGAATTTTGCACAAAGGACATTTTACAAATGAGACCCAGGGGGGTTTATTTTTGACTGTTGCTTGTGCATTTACCGTAGCTGGCCAAAAGCGTAGGAATCGCCTCTCTCAGCGGAGATCTTCAGAGAAATGTTGCAGTGATATGAGTTTCTAGTCTCCAGCTTCTTAGAAGCTCATAAGTGACCAAATGTCAAAGGCAAACAACAACAAAAACAATTAAAAACAAAACAATCTGTTTCATCAAAACAAAAAGTGTTGCCTGCTGCACCAGCTTTTAATTTCCAATTAACAGAAACAGTTGAGTCTTTTGTTTCCTGTTGAGGGTGTAGTGAGGAAGATAAAAATGAACACATGTGCATACAGTGATGATAATAAAGGTGCTGCACAACTACAAATTGGAACCCTCTCTTGTTTAGCTTCTGCCCTGTAAATCAAACAGCCTCTCAGTGGATATCTGTTCGCATTTAATTTGAAGTAACACGAAACAAACCGCAAAACAGCCCATTTAAAAACTAGCCTCCATCTTTGTTCCCTCTACATTCTGTGTTTTGTAAATGCAGCACCGACACCTCGTATGCATGTCAGCATTAATTACCAGTATTTTGGCGTCATGCATGCGCACAGCAGGCACAAACTACAGCAACTCTACACAAAGAGGAAGCATCCACAGTAAATATTTCTTACTGTTCTCTTCTTTTTTTTGCTTGGATGAAAGCAGCTCCTAGCTAAAACATTAAAATGTTGGGTTTTTTTTTTCCTTCGGCTGTTTTTAGTTCATAATTTAAAAGAAAAGTCGGGTGATGTCAGTATCTTTTTACTGTCGAGTATTCAAAGCCAGCGCGTATTCTCTGATGTATTTTATCCCTCCATTGTTTAATTAAAAACACATCAGTGTTGCACTCCTGCACTTGATGACATGTTCCTGCATTGTTTTGAACTGCTGCCCCAAATACTAACTAGAGTACCAAATGTGTGTTAATCTGCAACTGAAAATATTCACTAGCAAATGCAGTATTCGCCTCCAGTTTGAGTACTTTTACATATGAGTGTTTTTAATCTTTTTGTGGGATTTCAATAAGAATAAAGAATATTTCCCGCTTCAAAGTAACATGTAACAAGCATGATCAGAATTCTTTCCTCTTAATTTTACTTGATACTGCAGTATTTTAACAAAAGTTAACCACCTGAGCATTCACTATTCAGTTCATACAATAAATCCTACACAATAACTTAACATGCATCATGATACATTTGGCTGCTAACATAGTTTTCCAGCCCTCAGAATATGAGCAAAAGAGTTAAAGTTTAGATGCAGTTCAAAAGCTTCTGACCAGAGTAGGGGAAAAAAGGCAAAGCTGTACATGAACATATTTTTTAAATGAGGGGTGGGTCAGGGGAGGTATTTCCTGCGTTCGAGGGGAGTTACTGGACTCCAGCTACCTCTCAGGACACACTGACACAGTGCTTTTATTTATTTGCTCAGTTTCTGATTTGTTTACTTTTCAAAACACCGTTGGTTAATAGTGTGCCGTGGGAATCAGTGAGTTAATGGCTCAGTAGCTTAGCGCTTGACGAAAAGCATTGAAACTGTAAAAACAAGTGTGTGTTTAGTTGCCAGAAGTGTTTTGGTGTACGAGTTTAAGTGTTTGACAGGATTTTAAGGTGTTTGGGGTTTTTTTTTTTTTGCTGCTGTCACATTTTTTCCTCACTGTGGGCTGCATTATGAAGACAGCACACTCATGGCTAGAAGTAATGAGAAGTCAAAATAGCTTCTATGCAGTATTCCTCAGCTATTATTTGCCATAAATCTTAAAATTAAAAAAAAAAAAAGAAGAAGTTGGAGCACTTTGCCATTTTACAAAAGTTGCAGAAAAGCTGGAATCAATATGTCCAACATATTACATAGTCAGGATATTTACAATTTTATTCTGTTTCTGTACTTGTCATCTAACTGCTTTGTGAAAACACAGCTGGCAGTTCAGCTGAAAACGATATTAGGCATAGTTTTGGTTAGTTTTCCCGACAAAACGTCACACTTGAGCTGTTCGAGGACCATTGAAAGGTTTCTGGCTCTGATAAATGGTGTCACTTAGATTTTTTTTTGTCTTTTTTAAAGACAGTGTGACAGCAGAGTCAATAATGGCCTCACAGTTGTGCCGAGGAATGCAGACTCTTTTGGGGTTTTTTCAGAATCTAGCGCAAATATTTTGTTTTTGGCAAAATGTTAATGAGATGTAGAATAGAGTGATTTTGATGAAATAGCATGATTTTAAGATGAGCTTTGGCTTAGTTTTCTAAATGGAACACCACTTTACAGATGAGTCGCTCAGGGACTGTCAGATGTCTGTGTTTACAGTTATTAACTGATAAATAGTTTTATTTTGTTTTGTATATTTTTTTCATAATGTAATTTTATTCAGCATGTAGACTTTTCATTTTATTTAACACACTTTAAAGAACTGAAGCTTATTTTGTCGAGTCAGTCTGCACTTAGCAGCACTGAGACTTGTTCACGTTCTTGACATGTGCTGGTGCAGCATTAATATATATATGTACTTCAATGAAACACATTAATATGTTCCACTCCGCTGCCTCCACTTACGCAGTCCAGCAGCTGAACAACACAATGTATATCTGCAAGTGTTCCGCCTGTGTGCTTTTATAATCACATCAGTTCAACCAGCGATCCACAGAGTGACATATGCGCTCTTTTCTTACGTCTATAACCAACACAACCGTCTGAATATGTTTAGCTTTGTCTGCAGCACCTTTGGGCAATGAAAAACACAATAAATGACATGAAATGTCCAGGAGCATCAGAATATGTATGAACTGGCTGTGGAGGAGTGCAGAAATTAAATATTGAAATCAGAAGTGGTGCAGTGCCTCGGCTTTATAATGCATTAAGTCCATAAGTGCACATGTAGCTCTCGTGCTGTTATACCTCTCTTATGTTTCCTCCCTTCTGTATGCTTTTTCATTTTGCTTGTAAAAATTTCAACATGCTGTTTCTTCTTTCAAATGCTTGTTTTTCTTTCTCGGGGTAGTTTTGTTCCTGCTATTACAATGAATAATTAATTTAAATTTGTGTTTTGCATAGGAATGAGGTGGTGCAAATCCCAACATGCTAAATATGGACATTTTTATACCGAAGATCTTATCAAATATCCAGGTTGTGCCAAAAAAGGAATTTTGTGGAAATAGATGTAATGTAGGGCTGCAAGGTGGTGCAGTTGGTTAGCACTGTTGCCTCGCAGCAAGAAGGTTGCCGGTTCGCGTCTTTCTGCGTGGAGTCTCCATGTTCTTCCCGTGCAGCGTGGGTTCTCTCCGGGTTCTCCGGCTTCCTCCCACAAAGTCCAAAAACATGTTGAGGTTAATTGGTGATTCCAAATTGTCCGTAGGTGTGAATGTGAGTGTGCTTGGTTGTCTGTCTCTAAGTGTAGCCCTGTGATAGACTGGTGACCTGTCCAGGGTGTCCCCTGCCTTCACCCTAAGTCAGCTGGGATAGACTCCAGCCCCCCATGACCCTAGTGAGGATTAAGCGGTGTATAGATAATGGATTGATGGATAGATGTAATGTAATTTACTTGTAGCTACTTATATCCTTAAGGAGCCATTGACACTTGAGTTTCGGTTTCAGTTGTGGGTTTGTTGCTCCTCCCCCTCATTATGCGAGTCGTTAGTACTCTCCCTGCCACAATGGGGTTCGTTAGGGTCTTTTCTGGCTAGGTGTGAATGTGGTTATGTTTAAATTCTGAGGTTAAAACTAAAAGGTCTCTGTCCACATCTTTCCCTCTACAGAAGCAGGACCGTATCGAAGAGCTCAAGAAGTTCATTGAGAAGCATCGGTACCACATCCGGATGCTGGAGACGATACTGAGGATGCTGGACAACGACTCGGTGCAGGTGGAAGCCATCAGGAAAATCAAGGTTTGTTTATATGTCTGAGTAAAGGTGATCATCATTTTCTGTCCTTTCCTGGTTTTAGATTTTTCTAAACTTATTCTCTGTTTCCAAAGGATGACGTGGAGTACTATCTAGACTCGTCGCAGGATCCAGACTTTGAGGAGAATGAGTTCCTGTACGACGACCTGGATCTGGAGGACATTCGTAAGTAGAGAAGGAGCTGAGGATCATCCGCTCTGAATTTGCATCATTTATTTATTTGTTTGCACCACAAAAATTAGAAATGTAAAATGTAGACACAAGAAGCCAAGAACTGATGTTTTGTGTGGCTCCCCTTGAGGAGAAAACATGACAAACTTGGCCTAGCAAGACTGTTGTAGATGCAAAATCTTGACAAAAGTACACAAACTGTTGGCAGTTAGGCCTTTGTTATCCCATTTACAAAGCCTCAGAAAGTTGTGCTTAATAAGATTTTCCTCAAGCAGCACTCAAAGACTAACGGAGATTATGAAGCCATCAAAATCTTTGTTTTTACTCTCGTTTGAGGTGGCTCTTGACTTTTTCCTCAAAAGAGTTAATGAACTTCATGAGAGACAAAAACACCTTTTCTGACTTCTATCGCAGCGAACGTTTACCTCACATTCAACCCATGAGAGATCAGCTGTTTCTTGTTTCCAGACAGCATCAAACATGGCTGACACCAACTTGACATGAAGGAATAATTACAACTTTAGCAACTAAAAACAATTCCGAGGGACCTCTTTCCCTTTTCCTCTTGTTGATAGAAAAAGTTCTGTTTGTTTCTTGTCATTCTTTGAGATCTTTTAGCGGTTGGCAAACAGCTGGGGTGCGTTTTTTTCTTTGTACTCTTCAGTACATATTACAACTGTCCCTACAAAGTCTGTAGTGTTTCGTGCAGTATGCATAAATGAGCTGTTATCTGTCTGTGTGCTCTCAGCGGCTCAAGCTTGTTTAGACTCGTGCAGGACAAAGCGACGTATGGGATGTAACTGCACAGAGGATTTTTGAATCAGAATGGCCAGGAAAACATGCTGACTCGCATACTGCAAAATGCGACATCCTAGGACATCCTGGTATTTTTGGCATATTACATTTGATATACAATGTATGATAATGTAAGATAAACTTTATTGATCCCTCACCAGGGACACTGAGATGTCACACCAGCTAGATACAAATGAGCGTAATAAGAAACAACACAATAAATACTAGTACAATAGGGTTCAAAATAATGATGTGATAAGGACTTTATGCACCTTTCACATTGTGGATGTACTAAATCTTTGTCTGGCATACTACGTAGTAGGGAAGTATAATCTTGGAACATACCCCTTAATTTTCTTTTCATCTTCCTCTACTGTGTTTATTACAGCGATGTGTAACGTAGCCGACAGCGCCACCTTCAGATGACACTACGCAGCTGAGTTTATTCGCTCAAACGCAGTAAATGGGAACAAATCCACTTTTGTTTGTTTTTTTTAAATTTCTATTTGTTGCAGCACAGAAACATTTCTACAGTGGGCAAGTGTAGCTTTCACAAAGGGGAACATCACTGCTGATGACGTTTTGGATTTTAATACCAGTGGGCAAGTTTATGTTAATCCACAGACATCCGTGACTTCTTCACATTCATTTTTTGGTCTCTGAATAAAGTGCAGAATATGACTTGGGACTAACTTTGGATTTTTCTGACTTCAACTAAATGGCCCCACAGATTTAAACTTTAGTTTTAAGTAAACCAAAGTACCGTGAAGCCCCTTAAAATCGATACCAGTTCACAGCTGTCGGTGAACTCTTCTGCCTGTGTCTGTTCCCTCCAGCTCATCTCGCCACCTCCCCGCCGGGTCACTCGCACTTGGAGGACGAGATCTTCCAGCACTCCAGCAGCACACCCACCTCCACCACCTCATCCTCGCCCATCCCCCCGTCGCCTGCAACTTGCACTACAGTGAGAAAACTACTTCAAACTTTTCCTCCTCAGAGTTTCAGCTCGCTACTGGCATTGAAAAAAACATCAACATTTGTGCAGCTTTGTGTTTGTCTGTGGAAGCCGTGCAATGATTACAAACGAAAAATTTATTTCATGTCATTTCAGAAAAGATTAGGAGTAATTTGGGCCTTACTGTTCGCTCACCATTGTTGCAGCTTTTCTGCATCTCATTTGCATTCAGTTTCCACTTGCTCTTTTTACTCTCTCTAATGATTTGACATGTAAAAATGCCTTTAATAATTTGATGAAAAACCTTCACTTGACCCACGGCTTTTGTGCCAAAAATCATCAGTCGGATGTGTCATTGCCTCTGTGTTGACCTTTGAATTTGTCGCTAATGGTTGCAGGGATTTAATATTGGCAATCAAAGGAAATTAAGTCAATTGTTACACTCATCTTGAATCAAGTCGGGTCAATATCTCAAATGTAAATGTAAGATAATTGCCTTTGTATCCGCTATCGTAGTGCCCTGCCATCTGCTCTTATTGTTCTTCGGTATTGCCTTTATATCATCGGTTCTTCCTATCCACCCACATACAGTATGTAGTGAGAATAGTTATTATAAGTCTGATGTGTCTGAATAGAAGGCGTGGTATTGTTCAGTGCTGCTGATGAGAAGCTGCACTTTGAAAGGGAATGTAAAGGCATGGGGTGTACAGTGTGCCACAATGATTCCTGGAAAATGTGAAGTTGTGTCAGCGGAGTTTTACTTTTAATCGTCCAAGGAAGGTTCCGGAGAATTGTTGCGAGTTTGGAGACTTTAAAACTGAAAAAAAAAAAAACAGTTAGGTTTCATTTCCTAAATATGCTGATGTTGATTGTAATCTTCAAATAAATCACAGTGTTATTGTTCTGCAGGATGGAAAATGATTATTTGCTCAGCCAAACACAAGTAGCACAAGTAGATCAATAAATAAAACAAGACTCTGGACCTGGACGATAAAACAGTACTGATATATACAGGCAATAGTCTTACTTGCATCAGATATGAACTGCTATGAAAAAACATTACTTGCCTGTATCCTTCCTTTATATATGTGTGTATATATATATATATGCTATATATCCTCATGTAAGATAAGATTAGCCTGTGAAAATCCCACAGTGGCAAAACAGCAATGTTACAGCAACAAATAGGGATAGTGCAAAAATGTAGCAGCATCAGTTCAAAGAATAAAAGTAAAAAAATTAAATATACATAACTACTGTTGATATTGTATAGATTCTTCTATATGTAGAAATATAGGTATTGCACAGATTATACTTGATGTTGACAGTTGCACAGATGTTGTCCAGGAATTTTGTGTATGTCGAAAAATACAGATGTTGCTCAGACTCTCCTGTAAGTGGGAAAAAAAAGAGTGAAATATGTCTTATGAAGCAGGTATCATTGTGATAAAATGTATTTGTCTGTTTTTTTATTGTTGTGTTAACATTAAAATTATTACCCGTATACCTTGATAAATAGGCTAAATTAAAAAAAAAAAAACTCTCTTGGACTTTATGTCAAAACTGGTCATTAGAAAATGTGAATAATTATCAATATATCGACTGTAGTAAAATGTTTTATCGTGATACAGTTTTCAGCTTTATCACCTAGCTCTACAACACACCTTAGAAATAAAACACACATGCAAGTATAAAGTAATCTAAAATTATGTGGAGAAATTCAGAGCTTTAAAGCAAAAGAAAAAAAGCTATGAACTTTACCAGAGTGCTAAAGAAATCTTCATCACAACCTCTCCTCATGCAAACTTTCCATCTGCAGTGAGCAGCTTTTCTGTAGATGGAGAAGCTGGTTTTGTTTTTTAATAGTTTTACACCCACAAGTTTGTGGTGCGGCTTTTAAGCATGACAACGGTGAATACTGCGTTTCTCTGTGGCCTTAATGTTGTGTGTGTTTTTCAGGAGAACTCAGAAGATGACAAGAAGAGGGGACGTTCAACAGACAGTGAAGTTAGTCAGGTTAGTCCAAAGACACTGACGTTTCCTGTTTTGTCTGTCTGTGTTAAATTCAGAACCATGTGTGCAGTATTACTAACAGCTTCAGGAATTAGTTTATTGACTCGTCAACTGGTAGCCACAAGTCTGATAATTCTGTTCGTCTATAACAAAAGAAATGCCCTGAGAAATGACTTTTGTTGCTTTTTTTTTAGTTTTATATGAACGCAAATTAGTTATTTTCAGACTCTGGAGCATTCACAAGCTATTTGGAGCCTCACTATTTTCTGACATTTGAGAGAACAATTGAATATTCAGGCACAAAAATCTTTCATAGATTAATTAACAATGAAAGCAATTGTCTCAGTCTATTGCTAATGTGAATGCCCTAACATCCTGCGCTTCCAAATTCGATTATCCTAAATTAGCAATGTCATGCTGTTGCATGCTTTGTATTTTATGCATAACACCTTGTTTATAACATGTTCTGTGCTGATCCCACGTAGAATCTATGACTTTTATTTTCTTCTTTTCTTTGTGTAGTGATCGAAAAGCCCCCCAAAATCTAACCACATTAATGAGTGAAACTCGTAGTGCGCTGATGAAGCTCTGGTTTTGTTTTGCTCATTATTACGTTCAGCTCTGAGGACTCAGTGTTGAACATGCGCTATATTGAACACTAAACAATATTCTGTCTCTTTTCCCTTGTGCACTGTGCATGTTTTCATTTATTAAATTTGTTGCTGTCCTCTTGTGTCTTTTCCAGTCGCCTGTGAAGAATGGAAACCCCTCGTCCTCGTTATCCTCTTCTTCCTCCTCCTCCTCCTCCTCCTCCTCCTCCTCCTCTTCTTCCTCTGTCTCGGGACTAACCTCATCCTCACTGGTCTCTATGGCGACCATCGCTGGGGGAGGAAGCAGCGGCTCTGGGGGCAACAGTCATCACGGCAACTTGGGGGGTCTCCACTCCAACACTTCCGCTGGCAGCTACAGCAACGCCACCCAGCAGCAGCCACATCTGTCAGCACAGCAACAGCAGGCCAAAAACTCAGTGAGCTCCTCCTCCTCGGCGCCGATCTCCAACCCCAGCACCTCCACCAACAGCCACCCCACCTCCTCGGCCTCCTCTCCACCCAACGCCAGCACACAGGGGCTCTTCACTTCAAACTCCCAGCCCCAGGGTCTCCCGGGGCCCACGTCGACCTCCAACAGCCTTGGCCTCAGCCTGGGCCTCTCTCTGGGGAAAAGCGGCATGTCCGGCTCCATCACCACCAGCCCGATGTCCGCTGGCCTTGGCCTGTCAGGGATGCCGGCATCCCTGAGCACCATGGCGGGCCTTTTGTCCAGCTCCACCCCGGCACCCTACGCTCAGGCGGCAGCCTCAGGCGCGGTCGGCTCCGGCCTACCGGTCTCTCTCGGAGGCGTCAGCACCACCACGACCAACAGCACGTTGGGCTCCATCGGCAGTGGCAGCATCACAGTCGGCGGGCCGACGTCCTCAACAGGAGGCCTGCTTGGCTCGGCGCCAGGGATGGGCAGCGTCGGGTCTGGGATTCTGGGTTTGGGCTCTGGTCAGTCAGGGCTGCAGGGGTCTTCCCTGGTGTCACAGAGCCCAGTAGGAAGTTTAGCTCCGGGTAGCGGAGTAGGAGTTATCGGGAGCAACAGCGGCAGCACGGGATCAGCAGGGAGCGGAGTCGTGGGAGGAACCTCATCGCTCTCTGTCCGACCGCCGAGCCGACAGAAGCAGAATGGTAGCACTAGTGAGTATCTGATGTATGCACAAGCAGCAGCAACCAGTTATTGATCTGTGAAGGAACTTATGCAGAAGAAAAAAAAACACTGTAAATGTCCTTTTAGAGCAAGTGCAAAGTGCAAAATTCTGAAATGAAAACCCAGAATCTGCACATTTCACTGACAAATAGTGGCTAAAATCCAGAGACACCACACCTGACGATGCTCTTTAGGTCTTTAGACAAATGTAAAGTCAAAGATATTCTCTGACAAAAACATTAGTTGCACAACCTTTGATACAAGTTGAAAGGTGCTACTTTGAATCATTATTTTTACAATAAAACTACTGTAGTCATCATTTTGTTTTTTGTTTTTTTCTTAGACCAAACAAAGATTTAAAGGAATTAGGAATGGAAAACATTTTATAAATGCAACAATTAATCAGTTTATGGATCAGTGGTGAAATATTAAGTAATAAATTAGGAGATATATCACAAACAATTTTGATAATTGAATGATCAATTTGAATATTCTTTTTGAGAAAATATTTTGATTTCTTTACTGCTTTTTGACAGTAAACTAAGTATCTGTTGGTTGTAGGCAAAGCAAGACTTTCAGAAGCAGTGTTCAACATTTTTTTTCACAATTTTCTGACATTTATAAATAAAAAAAAACACAACCAATTAATTAATCAAGAAAATAAATAACATAACTGAAAATCAACAGATTAATAGACAATGGAAATACTCATTTGTTGCAGCCCTGCAACGGAAATTGATGATCGAAAGTAATTATTTCCATGTGGTATTACTCGAGACTTGATGTTATAGATTAAACATGAAAAAATATAGAAATTTTAAAGGAATTTATATGATCCCACCCCTAAAAAGAGTATTGTGACACTTGGGTGTAAACAGATCCTTCATTTGTTCTTATGTCTTTATTTATATTTTAAGGGTAACTGTACCCTTACATTCTATTAGAACTTTAACAAATTTACAAAAGATACCTTGCATGTAATTTGCAGGATTATTTCTCATGAGGTAGTTGTGTATCTAAATATTTAATAAGTAATCTAAATAAATTCTCTGGTGTTATTTAGAGAGTTCAGCTAGTTGCAGACTCTGGATCACTTTACATTGATATTTATGTTGGCTGTGTTGGTCTCCTCCACGTTCCAGGTTACAGTGCTGTAGTAGCAGACAGCACAACAGACTCCGCCCTCAACAGTGCCAGCCAATCACAAAGCAGCCAACCCTCATCTTTGACCTCCACAGCCAATCAGCCGTGAGTATGAAGTAGCAGATCATCAAAAACATTAAAAATAGTACACCAGCAGTTTTGTTTGCTTTTTCATTCTTATATTTTTTTGCAATTATAAAAAGCTTTCTATTAGTATACACAGCGCTCTCATCCTCTCTCTCGTGTTCCTCCTCCCTCCCAGTAAGGACACTGGTCCCAGTTTACTGAGCTCTATGAGTTTGTCGTCCAGCTCCCCGTCGCCGGCTTCATACAGCGAGGCCAAACCGGTGAGCGGCGGCAGCCTGCTGAACGGGCCGCTGTCATACTCGCAATCCTCCGACAGCATAAAGGTGAGAATCTGACAACACACTCAGAAACACAGTTTCAGCCTCGTAAATGGGTCTGTTTTAATCTTTGTTTTCCTTTTTTTTTTTGGTTTTGAGATTTAGAAGACAGGATGTTGTTTGCTGTTTATAAAGAGAGCAACTTAATCTCCCAAATCTCGGTGGACTATTAATTTGCTTGCAAACACAGTGAGAACTGCTTTTTGCTTCCCCTTTTAATTAATTCTGCCCACAGTTCAATCCAACGGGGGATGATTACGCTCTCATTACTGCTGTTTGTACATCAAGCAAACAGTTTCAGCTATTGTTAACAAGTTTCAACAAAACTGAAGAGAGTAATGAGAGAAAATCAACATTCAACTGAAAACTACTTTGCACAGCTTCTTTGTCACCTTCACTTGACCTTCCTGAGGTAACATCTGCAGTCACATTTGTACTTCCTTATTACACAGTGATGAAATGCTGGTTAAATCATTCTAAAAAAAATTGCCACGCTGGATTTTACTGCCATCTTCAATCATGTATTTAAGCTTGAGAATAATCTCTTATGATTAAATAACAAGGTGAAACAAAAAAAATCTACAGAACTTTCCTGCAGTGTTTTTACTGAGAGCTGCAGCTGTCTGAAGTTATTT